ACTTGGAATTTAACAAGCAGTTCCCTGAAATTCCCACTCTTGCAGTAAAAAAATTTCAGAGGTTGAAACATTGAGCATTTTTCATGTACCACAGGACAAGAGATAATTACAAGTATTTAAAAACAGTATCATTTTACACCAAAACACCGTACCTTCATATAATTCACTATTTTAGCAAGGACTCCAAACTTGTAGCCAGAGCCTCCTGAAAGGGCTTTCAAGTTAAATGATCCATTGCTGTGATCTACAAAGAAAGAAAACAAACAATTAGAGGATGCTTTGATACCTTCCTGTTGGCTCTGAGGTCCATCACATTCTCACTCTACTTGCAGCAGCTTCTGAAATGACAACTATGGACAGAAACAGGAGGGGTAGAAGCAGCCACCCTCAGGTGAGTCCTTGCACACATCTTGATCCAGACCCAGAGGACACAGCTCTGGAACATCTCTGAGCACAACTCCACAAATAAAAAGTTAGGAAAGCAGCAAGTGACTGCAGAGTTGCTGCCACAAGAGAACACGTTTAATTCGGTGGCTTAACATCCCATAATCATTTACACTACATTAATTCACGCTGAAATAATGCACTGCATTTGCTCCACCAATACCTTCCCTGCTGCTGCAATGGGGGCAGAGAGCTTCCCTTCTTCCCAAAAGGCACTCAGTGGTTACACAGCAGGTAAAAGAAGGCTGTGATTTTTAAAAAAAATATAGTTTAAAGTAGCTCCAGTGGAGAATTTATTAAATGGACCCATGCAAATGCAAACCAATTCAACCTGGTGCGTTGCACCACTGGAACAACAACTTAGAACCCCCTCTGTTGTCAACTGTGGTTGTCTTTATCATGAGGTTTGCTATCATTTTGTTTCAAAAATTCTTGCAAGGTTGTTAATGACCATTTCATTAACGTCAGCTCTTAGCATAGCACGATAAACACAAATATCCACAAACCACTATCACAAGCCACAGGTTCATTATCAGCACAACATTGCTAAAATCTAATGGCAACAGTTTTTTGGAATTTCAACTACTCCAGAAAAAAGAACATCATCTCTTTTTCACCATGGGGATTGTTTAACCCTCTAATGATTTCTAAGCACATCTGACAGGACAACAGCTATCTCAGAGATATGGAGCTCCTATTACTTCTGTGGAAAAATCAGTGAAGGGAGAGAAAAGAACAGAATCGTGAAGCTGTTACATGACATCGCCTTAGAGGCTTTACACAGCACAACAATTCTAAAATTAACGTAGAAGAATCAGTGTAACTCCAGCTACAGAAGAATATTTTATTCTGGTTACTAAATTAAGATGGTAAAAAGAGGAAAATCAAAAGCCAGTTCCCCCTGAAGATGTGGTCCATAGGGATTTTCCCCTAAAGGGTTCCCTTTTAAGATTAAAAATTAATGTCTATGTAGGACATCTTATAAATAACCAGAAAAAAAAAAAGATGCAATGAGAGATCTAAAGCAACCAAAATATATTCAGAGGTACAACAAACAGTCAATATGACTTATCATGTTTTTGTTCTGTCAATTGAATCAGGAAGATTATCTTGTTTAATCTGCCTGGTTGCAGCCTGCTACAGTTCATGACAAGAGAATCTAACCCCACAGTGAGGCTGGAAATCTGCAGATATTAACACTTCAAACGTCACGGTTTGATGGCTGATCCCAGCACAAAGCAGAGCGGGGTCGTGGCCAACGAGCGCTCCCAGCGCGCTCCTCTGCTAACGAGCTCATCCCATCCCAAAAAAACAAGAACAGGGAGGAGTTTGCTTTTATTCCAGACAGTAAGAGTCATATTTATGAATGATTTACTCCTGGGGTTGAGGGCTTGATGCAAATGAGCACAAAGGAAGTTGTCAGCAGCATCGTGCTCTGGCCAATGGAAGGAAAGCTCCATCTTAGCTGTGCCATAGGCTGCACTAAAAAAAGGGACCAGAACGGCGCTCTCTCAGCATCCTTTCACACAAGAGGTAGGTGTGTATCATTTTATAACATTCTCTGAGGTTTATCTTGATTACTGAAAGAAAATATGCCTGTAAGCTGAGAACCTGTAAAAGCTTCTTGGAATCAGGATGATTTTTCTCTAGGCTGAGCAGGGTTTATCCCGCTGAACGCGGAGGAGCTTGTCTTGCACGATCAGACAAGCACTTTCACCATCTGTGCACTAATGGAAAATTGATGACCACTCCATCTTACAGCAAAGCTAACACCACAAGCCAAGATTCAGCAAACAAAATGGATTTTGTCCTTACAGGGGAGGTGGCTGGTTTCCTGCAGCCTCACGTTCCTTGTGACTGATTCTATGTATTTTCACAGAAATGACAGCGAAAGGGTTTTCCTTAAAACAAAGACAGCTCCAGCTGAAACGTGAGAAATGTTACCTCCCAGGGGGTATTCCGTAGATTAGGCTGCCTAAAAGAGATCTCTGTGTGTGGAAGAGAAACCTGTTCTAGAAATGTGGTATACACTGGGTAGGGAGAAAATCCCATTGCCTGCTGTTATCTCTGGAAATACTGGAGCAGCCATGGATATAATGCAAACAGCCAGGTTGGAATGCACCTGAGATTTGTAAATGCTTTTACCCCGAGATGTCTGCTCAGTGCTTTCTTAAACAGGACTTCCTCAGTGCTGCATTAAAAGGATTTTCTGCCAGTCATTTCCCTCTGCTCCATGAATATGATTTCAAATAAAGCTGCTCCTCTGCAGTACCCAAAGATGCTAATGCTTTTAAATTAAAACCTAGTGCAGATATTAGAGGAACCACTTCATTAAATATTTAGGTCACTGCATTTTGGATACATACAATTGCTGACTTGATTGCAAATTAGACCGGCTGATGATATGAATCTGAAGTGTGCCGTTACAAAATCAGTAAAACTGCAGGAAACCAGCCCATTTCTGACAGCTTTCAAGGACACTAATCTCATTAGTGCTGTTTTAATTCTGAACAGTCAGCAACAGCTCCTTCAGCCTTGTGTTTTAATAATTACAGCAAAGAGCAGCTGATCTTTATCTGCCTCGCCTCATTCAAATCTAAGGAATCACCATCCTCCTCCTCGAGGAGCATTAAATTCCACCTCCTGGCATAAAGACAAACATCTCTCCACTGTGCGAGCTGCTGCCCTGATGGTGGCTGTGCAGTGGGAAGGGAATGGCTGCCCTGATGGAGTGGGAAGGGGCTGGCTGCTGCACTGCGCCCTGCTGCTCCTGCCTGGCCGCGCCGTGCCCAAGACGCTCCTCTCCTCTTGGGAACGGAGCCACTGCCTTGGCAGAGAACTGTGCTGGCAAAGGCTCCTGGCTACACACTGCAGATCCGACCAATCCTTCCAGTGGCCCCAGATCTTCATCACTTCGAGCAATATAAATGGAAAAAAACCTCTAAAATTACTAAATTTTGCATCACAGAAACAGTCTATTTCTGTGCCTGATGTTTACAGAGTGAACAAACTTACGTGTAACAGATTGTACGAAGTTCAAAACAAAACTCTTTTCTTTCCCAAAGGTATCCTCTTGCCATTTAAAATACACAATTAAATCCTGCTTATTTTAATTACTCCTCAAAGAGGACTCCAAATTCTTTTATTCAGCTCCCCCCTCTCTCTTTCTCTCATGGATTTTAAAATAAGTCTTCAAGCCACCCCTTCAAAAACCCTCACGATTTTTAGCGCCTTAACAGGTTGGCTGAGTTTCTTTCCCAGACTGTGACCAAATCAAGCCACTCTCTTGAAGCCAGGAGTATTTTTAGCTTGGATTTGCTCTGTAAACTTTTGTTTAAGGAAAAAAACCCACAAACAACTTAATTAATCCCATCCATCTCAGTCATAGTTTGTGTATTCAATTACTAATTAGTGTACTCAGCTACAGATTTAACAGAGGAAACAGCAAGTTACTGCAACTGCTCCAGTAAATGTCTATGGAACGCTAATGCCAGGGACCTTGCCAGCAACAAAGCTCTTCCATTTCAATTTAAATCCATTAAAGACAGAAGGATAAAGAACAAAAGGTATAATATTTGAACAAAAGAAAAATAAGACATAGATCACAAGCTGGTTTGGCAGCATGATCCTGGTTTTCACTACATCCTGTTCTTTAATAATTTCACAGAAATAAGGACAGATGCTCAGACTGCTTTAGTAGACACCATCACCACCATTCTCCACCTAAAGACTCCTTTGCTACTTCCTCAAGGAAATATGGAGACTTGACTTGATCTCCTCCTCCCACACCCAGCTGTAAATTGCCTGAGGGATTCAAAGGTTATTACGACGCCCTACAGCCACAGCAGATAAGCAGAAGTTACCGTAGCTCCTCGGACAATTTTTATGACATTAGACTATAGACCAAAGGCAGATCTGCTGAAGCAGATTTGCTTCATCTCCCCCCACACCACAGAGCAGCCTCTTCCTCTGCTGGATGGCAACAGACAGTGTTGGGGCCAGGGGTAGGCAGAGGTGAAAATAAGAAATAAGGAGTCCTCAGAAAGGGTTGGGTTTTCCTTGTTTGTCCACCCCAATGACTACGGCACCACAAAGATTTCCAAACACTCTCAGTGCCACCAAATTTCTCCAGCACAAGCTACTCAGTAGTGAGAGAGCAGGGGAACAAACAGGTCAGAAAATCTGCCCTCCTAAAGACAAGAGAGCTTTGCAGGTGAACAAGTCTGTGCTAACAGGCAATTCCAAAATAATAAGGCCTTTCACACCATGCAGGTGCCAGCCTCAAGACTGACGTTGGACAGGTGCTTGAAACCAGTGTACACCTTGAAAATCCAGTTTGTAACCTTTGTTTGTGCATATAATTGAAATAAAGAAGCAAAGCTCTCATTCCTGAATAACTTATACCACATGATGCCTGCACGAACTAGATGATGAACCAGCCAAAACAAATGTACTGATCCTATCACTCCAGGTATATACCTAGAGTTTGATATTTTGGTGAGTAAATATGAGTATGCAACAATGCATACTCATAGAAACTTTGAGCACTTAGTCTAAGTAGATCCAATCTGTGATAAATATCACAGCATGTCTTTGACTGACAGAGTTCTCAACAGCTTTGTTTTTGTGTTTCAGCTCTCAGATCTGTGCCAGTGAGCATACTCAGACAGCTCTTCAAGAATGGCAACCCTCAACGGCACTCACTGGAATGAGACTACTACATCCATTTCCCAGTATCTGGGCTTCCAAGTGCAAAAAATTTACCCTTTCCATGACAACTGGAACACTGCCTGCTTTGTTATCCTGATTATATTCATCTTCACTGTAGTTTCCCTGGTGGTCTTGGCTTTCCTGTATGAACTGCTGGACTGTTGCTGCTGTGCAAAAAACAAAACAGTGAAAGACTTGGAGAATGAGCCCAATCCTGTCAGGGCCATGATGAACAGCTTCAGGAAGCGTGAGACAGAGGTGGTGTAGGAAGCACTGAGCACCTGCACTTGGAGAACTTGGTTTGACACCCCAATGAAGCCTCTCGTACCTTACAAACGAGCAAGTCATGAGCTTTTTTCTTTTGGACTTAAATTGCACGATTGCAATTTTATCTCTGGATGTGAGCTGGAATAATCGGCAAAGGCTTTCCAAGTGCTTAGCAGAAAGACAATCTACTCAAGTGTTATGGGAGGGAAAAAGATTTTTGTTTTTAGATGAACTTTTGCTGTTTATATCGAGTGACTAGCATAGAATTTTGTCTACCTGACCAAACGAGTGTTGCCTAACATGCATAAAACCGTGTTGCTTAACTGAAGAAAACATTTATAAAATGTTCAACAGTCTGATCACATTCAGTGCAAAGACAGAAGTGCTGTCCCACCGAATCAACCACACAGGGACAGCACAGACAGAGAAGGGGTGACAAAAAAGTTGGGAGAGAAGGGTTGAATGGCATGAGACCCTTCAGGCAGGAGAGGATGGGGTGAATTCTAGCCTTTGGCAGCACTCTTTATTATGGGCTTCTTGCTTTTAGAGGAGAGGGTGGTGGGAGCAAAACTAAGCCAACAAGAAATGCATCCCTAAAATGGTCTTTTCTGGTCCTCCTTAGGGTAGTTTGATTCTTTCTTTCCCCACTTTCTCCAGTTCCAGGGAACTCTTCTCCCCTTGCTTCATATGCAGTCTGGACAATTTCAGGGTGTGGAGACCTGTGTAACCCATTACCTTCAGAATATCTGACCCTTTCCAAAAATCCTGCTGGAAAAGAACAACTCTGCCCCAAGGCTGCTGCTTCTGTGGCAACCACAACACTACAGGGAGCTGGACATGCTGGATGTATCATCCCTATCCCAACTTTCAAAGCCAAACTGGAACTGGTGGAGTTCTTGCCAAGAATGCAGGGAGATGGGCCACAGACCTCCCCCACTGAAGAGGGGGATGTCACCCAGCCCATGGGCTGCTTTCAGGTGCCAACATGTTCCACACAGGAGGCCACGCTGGGATCAGCCCTGTGCTAGAGAGGACAGCTTCACTTTGCACAAGAGAAGCTCACTTCACTTCATCTGCCTGCTGACACCACCCAGAGCTCACAAGCACCCCTTCCTCATGTCCTGACCACAGAACTCTCACACCTCTGGCTCACCAGTCCTCTGTAGCTGTGTTGTGCCTGTGATTTTCAAGACCGTTCAAGTTTTGCAGTTACAAATGACAACTGTAGTAACTGTCCAACAGTGTGGCCATCAGTAATTCCTGGCAAGTCCTTCACACTCCTGAACCCACACAGAAATGTCCCAGAGCAAAGCTACACACGGGACAAGTTATTTAACTGTATTAATCCCAGAAAACATTCCTGTTATGAAGGAAACAAAACCCACCTAAATGGACACAGCAATAAGTGACCTCACAGTCCATCCACGTCTGAAAAACCTTTGTGCTATGCCCAGTACCTACAATGATCTCTTTTTTTTTAATATATATCAATCCCTCTCAGGATGAGCATGACTAAGCTCCAGAAGAACTGGACACAGTGGAAGACTTGCTAACTGACACGTGCTGCTCCTGGTTGGTGAGATGGAGTCACAAGACACCCAGAGCACTATGAACTAGCACAGCTAGTCCAGTGAATTGCCTGGAGAAGCAAACTCCCTCCTGCAGTCACATATCCTCACAGCCATTCATCTCAGACACACTTCTCACAGTGAAGTTTGGCCAGGACCACTCCCCCGTGCAGAGAATGCTTCAAGCTCAAAATGAAAAGCACAACTGACGGAAGCCAATGCCCCAAGAACAAGATAATTCGGGACTCACACCAAGATGTATGATGAAGATAATGTCAGTGGTGATAACGATGACACCTTACCCTCTGCTGTATGAGACAGCCTCACACTGGAAAGCCCTGTTCAAGGAGCCAGAGTAGCCATCGGGATGCACTGAGTTAATGCCTCTTTCCTAAAAGCAAATGCTCTGGGCACTTTAGGCACTCCCACAAAATGCCCATCATGGCTGCGCACAAGAGGGCAGCGTGTGCAACACGCCAGCCTCTGCTGCTGTGGCAATGCCTTCCCGAGAAGCACACGGAATGACAAATTTATTTCACAGGTCTGCAAAGGGGAACGGCTGTGGGCACAAGGAACAGAAGACAAAGGTGTTCCCTTGCACAGAACCAGAGAAGACTCAGGATGATTCTTTCCCACAAAACAACCCCTGAAGATTTCGGCTCTTGACTACTGTTGGCAGAGACCACTGAGACAAAGGTCTTAAGACAAAGACCACAGCCACAGTTTAATATTGATTAATAAAATGAAACAAAACCAGACTTGATTAATTTCATTTATTTTCCAGTTCCTATTCTGAACAACTAGCTTTGAATTTTCCACAATAACTTGTTGAAATAATGATAGTAAAGTCTGTATAGAAGTGGCTGTAGGAGCAGTGGGAAGCTTAGAGCCAGACTTAACAGACCCAGATTTAGCTGGGTAGTCATTTGAAGATTAGCATGGTCTCCATACCTCTCCTCCCCCAAAAAGTGACAAGGCCAGGTTCTCTGAGTCACAGAACCACAGAGAGGGGGGATCTGTGGGCACTACACACCCAGGGACTATCAGTGCCAACACACAAACACTGTGACTCCATTTATCACCTCTGTGGCCACTGTATAACAAAACTAGGACTGACCACCGTAGTTTGTTTCTTTGGGGCGGTGGGACAGGGATTTCTCAACATCAGGTTTTTACTCCACCTCCCCAGACCCATCTCTGACACACACACACATATCCCGACAGGCACCTGCCAATCTGGCAAACGAAATAAAAAGCGGGTTTTGAGGCAATGGATTTCGACTCTGCAGCACAAAAATGTTGTAGAAACCCTGGAACCTTTCTGGTACTGCCTGGAATGCAGCCAGCAGTATAAAAGATCAAGTTTATTTCCTCAGAGCCACACTGGGTCCCTCTTTGTGTAAGCAGATTGTCTGACAGCCACAAAATCACTTAAAGAAACCCTCAGCCCACCAAAACCACAGAAACAGAACGAAACCTTCTTTATCTGCTCAAATCCTCCAGATCAGACTCACATTTGTACCCTCTGCCCTCCTCCTCGCTCCCCATCCCTTCTTCCCAGCAAACCCCCCTCACCCCAGTGACGCAGCTTCGGATATTCCACGTAGAATTTTGTTTTGTTTGGAGAGTGTGAAAAAGGGATGGATGGAAACCCGGCCTCCCTTGATTTATTTTAGAATGTCTGGCTGATACTTTATTTGGTGCCTGAGAAGCTGCAGACACATACCCAAATTCCTGACTGTTCCCCCGGGACAGAAGATGCTTCACTCCTCCCAAACTCCCTGACGTTTTTCTCTGTTGTTTTTAGCTCTATTGTTTCTTTTAGAGTTTAGGAGAGAGCCACGTGTGGTACTATTCAAAATATGAGCACGGACTGAGTTTGAACAACAGGGTATTTTGTGGTTTAGTAACTCCTGGCATTTGATCTGACCTTTAAAGTGCACTTGAGAACTGCCACTGCTTTCGGAGCAAATCCTCTCCCCAGTGCTGCACTTTCCACACGCTCCCACTATTTTTGGTGCTGCTTTATTAACTGCTTATTTGATACTGAGAGACACATTGTCAGTGCCACAGTGCACAGGAAAACGCCACAACTCCTCAGTAAAACAGGCAGAAACCTCTGGAATGCCTGCTGCTCATGAGCAAAGCTTAGCTCCCAGGTAAAACAAGGACAACTGCTAATTATTTGTCTGCATGGCAGACAAAATGCACCTTACAAAATGTCTCTCATATATGAACACCCTTCAACTTAGAGTTAGCTAAATGTGCTCTCTTGCCAGAAATAATCACAGGATCATGGAATGGTTTGGGCCGGAAAGGAGCCTAAAGATCATCCAGCTCCAATCCCCTGCCATGGGGACACCTTCCAGGCTGCTCCAGGCCCTATCCAACATGGCAGACATAGACAGAAGGAATGACACCACAGCTACTGCCTGTCCAGCGAGCGCTGAAACCCACAAACCAAAGCACAGTTTCACGTGAATAGTTCTGGCAGCAGCAATTCCTCCAATGGAGCAACAGCAAACAAGCCACAGGATGAGGCTTAACACACATGCACAGCGGGGAATGGGTTTTTCACTTTGTACAAGTGACTTTCTTAACAAAAGTGGCAATTTACGAGAGACAACAGCTACTCGTAAAACTCACAGATACAGCGTTATTCACATTAATAAAGCATAGCTTAAAGGCAAACAGTGGTAAACACCAAGCAGTTGCCGGACAGGAGAGTTCCACCCACCTGTGTTTTGTTTTGAGCTGGAGGAGCCCCCTTGTTCTACCTTGGCCTTCTTCTTCTTGGAGGCAGAGGAGTCGGAGGAGAGTGCTGGGCGTTTCTCTACGGCCGGTGTGGAGAGGGCTCGCTTTTTGAACAGCTCCCGCTCCCTCAGCAAGCTGGGGTCCATGATTCTGCCAGAGGGAAAAGGCGAGAAAAAGGTGTCGGCGTCACTGAGGTACTCAGGAGCAAAAATATCTGTTTATCACGGAATATGCTGAGTTCGCTGGGACCTATAGGGTCCCGGCAGAGTCCAATTCTTGGCCCTACACAGGACACGCCAAGAATCCCACTCTGGGCCCGGGAGTGCTGTCCAAGCGCTCCGTGACCTGTGGCAGGATTGGTGCTGTGACCACATCCCCGGGGAGCAATTTATTTCTTGTTCGCTCCTCCTTTTCCCGAATATGGACTTCGATAACAGAGTGAAGGTGTCAGTGCACTACCGGCACCTTACCGAGTGTGAATGGGAATGCTGCGCCGGCCCTCACGGCCACAGCAGGGTAGGAAAGCTCTGCCACCAGCTTAACGAGGGACCTCACGGCCACCGGCAGGACGGAACAAAGTGGCAAAGCGGCGGGCAGGCGACCGGAAACCAAGAAGCGGAGGATGCCGGTGCCTCGCCGCCCCTGTAACCCGCGCACAGACGGGGGAAGCCGCTCCCACGTGCCCCTCTCCGCTCCCGTCCCGGTCCCAATCTCGGTCCCGGCCCCGTCCCCTCACGGCGGCCCCCGCGCGCGCCCGCTCACCCGCGCGCCGCCGCCGCCTAGCGAGCCATGCCGCTCCCGGCAGCCCCCGCGCCAAGGCCCCGCCCCGGAAACGGCGCGCCCGTCGCCATGGCAACGCGGCCCGGGGCTGCCCGCCCCCAGCCCCCGCCACGCGCGCATACACACACACACACACACACAGAGAAAGCGGCTATTTCTGTAAATCTCTTTATTAACATCCCATTTCACACAGTGAAAAAGTCCTAAAAGTGCTGCTTGAGGAAGAGAAGAAGCAGCAGCAGCAATAATGCAGAGGAGCACAAGGGAAATTAAAGCCCCTGTGAAGCAACAGTCTGTGCAGATAATGCTCGTGGTAGTAAAGAAGATAAAAAAACAAGTCATCTTGATATCCACATTCAACTGAAAATGCCTTTTCTGGTTTCTGTTCTGCATTTCTTGGTCTGGTTGACAGGGTCAGCTGTTTCTGCTGAGGTCCCAAACCATTCTGGCACCCTCCTCTTCACAGGGGGATGCGAGTTCTGGAAGGAAACAAAGGCACAAACGTGGAGGCAACCGCACATGGACAGCCTGGCCCACTCACACAGCTCTGCTCCTCAGCTCAGCTGGAGCCATGAACTGTCCAAACTGTTCAGGGAAGGCTTGTGCCTCACTTTAATCCAACACCTTACTCAAGTATCTAAAGCACTAAGAATCAAACTCTGAGAATCAAAGCTGAGAACGATTTGCACTCACAGGAATATCCAGCTTCAAACTGAAGCAAAGGGATTCAACAAGAGAATCAGAGACAGGAGCTCCCTTTTAAATAAAAACCCTTAATGTCTGCTCATACAGCTTGCGTTCCTATAGACACCAATGCAAAAATCCTTAATGTGATCAGCACAGCCTCACAGAACCCTGTACTTAAAAGAAAAAAAAAAAAAGGAACCAAATGTCCTCTTAAAACGTTGGAAGCATCTGTCACGAAATAGCTGACAAAATGTACTGGGGGAAAAGTTTCCTGTGGCAGTCTCTTGCTATCCAAGTGGGATATTTGGACACAGCAAGGACAATAAAAGCAACATGGCATCACTGCCTCAGTGATGTCGATGAGAGCAATGAGCTGGCAAGGTCTTAGCCACAGTCTGGAACCCCGAGAGAAGCTGAGAGTTGGGTTGTTGGAGATGCCCACCCCAATCTGCAGGTGTGGGCTGTGCTCCTGCAGTCTCACCTTTGGCTCAGAGTCCCCAAAGAGCTCCTCCTCCTCGGGATCCAGGGTAGGCTGGTTGGAAGAGGCCGGGGTGATGGGCTTTGAGAAGCCTGCTGCCCCCCTGCTCCCTGCCTGCCTGGCATCCATGCTCCCTGCAGCCTTCCCCTGCCACAGAAAGGAAGCACAGTGTTACTTGGGTCACAGTCCCTCATCAACCAAGTCCCAAAACCTCTACTTAATGAGGGCACTGCCTGTTACTTAATTATTCCACCACAATAAAATTTGAGGGAGTGAAGTTTGTGCATTTCAAACATACAGCAACTGGAAATTGTACTCGGGCCTTGTTTTTAAGTTAAGAAAAACATTTCCCCATTTCTATGGCTCTGAAAACTTGAAATATTTACTTTTGACTCGCAAGTGTTGTGTTTTCAAATGTGTCTTTACAGCTGAAGTGTCAGTTAAAAACAGCACAGTGGGCACAGAGATATTAACTCATGTTTTTTATATCATCCTGCTGCTCACAGGTTGCAGCAGTCATGCTGACATTTTTGCATCAGCTACACATCCCTGTGTTACCAAAATCCTCACTAATGGCAAGTTTACCACATGCTTTATTAGAGTAAGAACATCTGTTTACCGAAGCCAAAGGCACCACATGCAGATGGGTTTTTTCTGCTCCTTCCTTGGATGCTGGATTGATCCCATTACCCTGTAAAAGCAGCAGCAATGTCAGGCCATTCAAATCCAAGAAAATCCATTAAGAGATTTACAACTGTTCACTACAGAGAATTAGTAGAACTAGGATATCTTCTAAAGGAGAAGTAAACAAAGACTGTTTGGATTAGTTTTTGGATTTGCAGTCTCTTCCTTTGGATTATGTTAATTTGATTACTAATAGCATGGCATTCTCACTATTAGCTCCAGGAGCTAACAGTAGCAGGGAAAAGTGTGATCAGTGCTCAGACAATTGGACTGTCAGGAGGTCAACTGCAGGAAAAAGAAGGCTCTGACAGAGATATTGCAGAAACAAAACAGCACTCAGGGAAGCACAAAAATCAAATTGGCCAAATGGCCATGCTTGAAAAGTGGTTTGAGCCAGCGTTTAAGAAATCAGCCTAAAGGCCTGTAGGGAACAGATCTGAAATCCCAGCACAGGTAGCAGGATTTGGAGCACGATATTTCTTTTGACCATTCCCACCAGGTGCCACTCAGTGCAAGGTGTCCTTTGTACAAGGCGCTGAGCTGGGATTTGGGGTCACAGAGGCCAGCAGAGGGCTCAGACTATCCTGGATTTTCTCAAACAGCAAAGACCTCCTTATTTCCCAAGACGTGTCCTTCAGGAGACACTTGTCATCAGGCTGTGCCCAGCAGTTTCAAGCAATATAGGGAAACCAAGGGCTGAGACACTGCTGGCTGGAATTGCCTCTGGATTTTTCATCCTCTTCACTTTCCTGCATAGTAGGAGAACCTCTTTTCCCACATCAGGTTGGTTATGTAGCAACGCACAGAAACAAAGCAAGAGCACAACTTGGATTCGGTTGCTGGGAAGGAATGAGCATATCCAAGTTTTCATACTGGGAAGAACTTGTAATGTATGTAACAAATCACAGCTAAGCTGCACAGGTCTGACCTCTTCCTAGGTCAACACTTGTCCCAAAAGAATCCTCAGTTTCTGCTCTGAGCACTCCTCTGAGGAGGAGGCAGTTCTACTCAAAACTGAGCGAGAGATGGATTGGGAAGATGAGACAGAGCACTGCTCAAAACACCAACAACATTCTGTTAGTCTGCTCCTACAAAGAAAATATGATTTTACAGAGGAACAGTTTTATAACCTCCTTTTACTAACCTGTATTTTAATCCACAAGTCACCTTGCCTGCTTTCTTGATCTGCTCCTGTTTTTCCCTGCTGCCCTTCAGGCCACACCAACCTTCTTTTGATACCCAAGACATCCTGAGATTTATTTCTCTCCTCTTGCTCCAATAGTGCAATCATCATCTTGATCAGATACAGATGAATATTTGTAGGAGTAAGTTTTCTAATTTCTTGAATTTTGGCAGTGTCTTGGAAAAAATATAAATACAATATTATTATTTAAGCTTCTTGCCCCTGATTCAGTTTTTCTATATTGTAAAATACATTAATTGCACCTCATTGAAGCACAGCATGGATTAAGGCATAGAAAAGCTAAGAAGATAAAAACATATGGGTTTGACTTGTGAGATCATGTGACAAATTCCCAGTGTGTTTTCTGAGGATGCCAGTACTTACAGAAATACTTTGTCAGGCCGATGTTTTTTTTCAAAAACATTTAAGTAAATATAGATTTAAGAGGGATGCCTCAATCATCTCCATACAATAGAGCCAAAGGATTTATAAAGGTCTTCCCCATTGTTATGGATCAGGATGGTGTTATTTTACAGCTGAACCCTGAAAGGAAAGCAGTGACCCTGGCACTGCCCCAGCCTTACAGGCACAAGAAGCTTCAGCTGAGGTCAGTGATGCTTACCTGAGTTAATGGGAGGACTGTGGATAACGTCCCTAAGGACCCTCTGAACTGCAGGAGTCAAACCTGCTCTCTCCAGGCTCACAGCATAGCCAGCTCTCAGGGCCTGGCACAGGTGAGTGCCAACCACAGCAAGGGGCAGAGATCTGCACTCACTTATGGCCTCCTGGGGACACAAAGGCACAGGGGACTCACGTGGCACAAGTGTCACTCCCAAAAAACAATCCAGAGACATGGGCACACGGCAGCACAACAAAGCTCCCCAGAACACTGCATTATTCCTGACAGCTCTCTCATTTCTTTTCCAGCTTGTCAGGTGTGTTTCTCTCTCAAAACTGCACAGCTCGAGTGCAACACCTCACCTCGAACTTAGCTGAGATAAAGGAGCTGTGGTGCACCTGACCTCTCAGGTGCATTATACTCCTATAAGACAGAATATCCATGCAGAACATGGATAGCAGCACCAAAACAAATTCCCCCTGATTTTCACACGTTGGATGAATTCTCCTCTTAAAACATTTGCCTTGAAGAAAAGCATCTCCAACTTGGTTGACCCAGACTTGTTTTTTCTCAAGGACAGATTTCCAACTGGAATCTCGTACTCTTGAAAAAAGCATATTTCAAGTTTCTACTCATTTCTCCACAGGGAATACACACACTGTGCATATCATCGGGATTAGTGGACACAGAGTATCAAGTTGCCCATTAGTAATTGTACAATTATTTCTTGTTAGTTCATCCTTAGGTAAATTTTTAACTTGGGGACCACTTGACCCATAGTCTTGTGAGGGGCAAAGCAAAAGCCAAAGCAACTTGAGTTGCTTACTCTGGAATTAAAGACTCACTGTATCCCACCTCAGTTTTCCATACCACCACTTGAGAGGTAAGAGGATTTGCCATTTCCCAGGATAGGTATTGCCTCAGAATTTTAAAGTAACCTATCCAGCACTGTGCAGAGGATTTAAGAGAACTTGCACATCCCCCTCGTCTAGACCAAGCATCCCTGCTGTCAATTTTCAGAAAAGCAAAAACCTCCACAGCCAAGAGCTTACCAGAGAGTAATTTTTCTTTTGGAACAGGATATATGTGACCTCCTCTGAGGGAGAAAGGGCTCTAGCACACTTCCAGGGAGATGCTTCTTTCTGAACCTTTGATTCAGACGTAGGGAATGTGTCGGTCTAAGCGAGATAAAGCAGAATTAAGTTAATTGTATCCCAGTGACAACCAGTGGATCGCCCTCCCAGTATCTGAAGTTATCTGACAAAAATAACACCAACAGAATCATTCAGCTCTCTGGAGGTTGGCTTTGACCACAACTCCATGTTCTTAAAAGAAAAAAAAAAATTAAGAAGAGAGGGAAAACTAAAGAAAGGAGGGAATCCAGATGGACACCCACCGTATGTTTTCATCTTACTGAAGCCAGCATGGTGTCATCTAAGGAGCTTGGAAAAGAAAACCAGCCAGAACATAGTGCCTAGGCCAACACATCATCTTAAGTATTCCTCATTCCACGTGAAACTACTCCATCAGAACAAACTGTGGCATTCAATCTGCATGGGAAACTTCTCCATTTGAGCTAAACTTTCTCTACATACACGCCCTGAAAACAACTAAAAAAATGAAGCATGCTCTTGATTCCCACTGCTAGAACAAAGTATTATTTTTTTGTCAAACAGAAACAGAACTCCATGGAGTCCAACAGCTGCAGGACAAATCCCATCCTTAAGGCTCCTGCCAAGGAGCAGACACTTGAGTTCATCATACCTGCAAACCATTTACTTGGCAGAAATCCTTAATTTCAGCCAGGAGAGGCATCAACATGGTGGACTTGGCTTCAGACACACCATCAATTTTCTTCAGGTTCTCAATGCTCGTAGGCCTGGTTTAGGATGAAGAAGGCAACAACATAAGACATTCCCAAAATATTGCTGCCTAATGCCTTGTAATAGCTGGGGGAGGGACTTGAGATGCCTCCACTCTCCCAACAGAAGCAGGAAAGGGAATTTGTGACAAGCTCCCCAGTTTGTACAAAGTGTCTGCATGCTGGCTGCTTTACCTTATCTGGGCCATCTCCACCAGGATCTTATTGGTTGCCAAGAGAGCTGGAGGAATTTCCTTCTCATTAGCCACCTTCTGTCTAACAGTCAGCAGCTTGCCATACAGAGCAGTCTGGAAAGGAAGGAGCCAAATTCTCAGGAAGCAGCTCTACATCACTCATAGGTGTAATTGCTACAAGAGCCAAAGTTATCACCTCCCTGAACTCTCCAATAATACACAAAACCCCTACAATCCATTAATCCCTCCTCAGCTATTTCAGTCCTATTCTGGGACTTCTATTCAAACTAACTCAGTAATTTTAAGAGCTGTCCAAGCCAGCTGCCCAAACACAGGACAACTGTGGTTTGCAGGCTGACTGCAATTGAAAGAAATCCTCCCCATCCCAGAAAAACTTACCTCTAGTTCTTTTTCTCGGGATGAAACACCTGGTTCTTGGGGCTTCAAAGGAGATTTCAGTGGTGAGCGCCCTGCAACACTAACAAAAAAAAAAAAAAAAAAAAAAAAAAAAAAAAAAAAAAAAAAAAAAAAAAAAAAATCAAGTGTGAAGCAAGCCTTGCTTTACATCATCAGTTTATTCAGGGCTTGGTTGAAGGCTGTGGGAGAGCAGCAGCCTGACTTATTTTGCCAGCTCCAACAACACCCCAAGCCAACCTGGCCCCCAGGCAGGACTGGTGCTGGTTGGGATACAACCAGCAGCATCCTCCATGTCACAATTTCTCTGATCTGGTGCTGTAATCCAAAAACAGTCTGTTATTGTACAAAGCTCAAGCAGATGAAATATTATCTGTGGGAGTCTGGGGGCAAAACACCAACCCAACTCAGCAAGATCTCTCAATGCTGGATTCCCATATCTTGAACAAAAACAAGCCCTAACAGTCACTTGTCCCCTGTGACATCCCACCTTTGGTTTTTGCCCATGGCTGAGAACATCAATCCTGGCAAACAGCACTGATCACCTTAAAACCATCAGTGACAGGGCCACAGCTGCTGGGCTGTGAGTAGAATTAGCACAGCTCCCAGTCCATGGGCTCAGGGACATTTACCCTTGACTGGACTGCCTCCATTACACTGCAACATCTGTTAGAACACAAGTTGGACTAAGAGCTTCCTTTCCTAAGCACAGTGCAAAATAACTTGATTTGGATTTTAACTGTCCCTAAAATAATCTGTCTTCACATGGCTGAAGTGACAACTATTCACCTAAGTGATACAGCCTCTTTACTTGTCATCTGCCAGCACCAGAATGGTGGCCTGAAGGAGGAATCCACTCAGAAATATAAGGTGCATTCAATCTGAAGCAGCACATGAGCCAGAAAAACAAATTACTTGGTCTGCTTTTTGCAAGAGGTTATTGGATTTCTTTTGACCTGAGGGAGCCTTGTGTTAGTCCCAGTCTTCCCCAGACCAGTGTGGAAAGGCAGAGCCCTCCATGCTCCCTGATGTTAACTGTGAAATCTTGTAAAGACAAGATATTTTGAAATATAATGCAGTGTATAGCAAGTTTTAGGCACTTGTCTTTTTTTAATGCATTAAACATTTCCACACCCATTTCCCAGGAAATGCTCATGATAACGATCACCTGACAAGCAGTATCCCCATTAACACAGTCAAAATTAGGTCAATCTGTTTTAATTTCAAATACTGTACCTGTTAAGCATATTAGTGCTTCTTGGAGGAGTTTTGTCTTTTCTGTTATAGGAGAACATCTCATATAGAGATATCTATAAAAAACAGAAGAACAAGACAAATGCTGATTTCCCATCTTTGCACTGAGTTTGCTGTTGACAAAAGATGAATTTGTGATATGTTTACAAGCTGGGTTTTATTTTTTTTAATATGAGCAAGGATGGATCACATTGCAGGAGGGTTGTACTGGTACAGACCTGCTTGCCTGGTGATTGTGTTGTTCCTTTTGTGCCTGGGGAGCGCTGCCTGGAGAGCACAGGCGAATGACTGCTGCTGTAATGCAATTAATTATATCTTAATTCCATTGCATAGTGACATTGCCCTTCAAAAAAATAACATTCTGCTAAATAAACTGATTTCAAGTCGGTACAGGGATGTATTTGGCAAATCAGGTTATTGATTAATTATTAGGATTGTCATTCTTCATGGAAAAAAAACCAAGAACACTGAGGATCCTCCTGTTCAACCCTGCCTTCTCCAAAAGCAGATTTCAGAGACTGATCTGATGTTAGCAAAGAAGCCTTCAAGAGAACACGTGCTAAAATTACCTGGTAGAAGGTCTCTGCAAATTAAGGTCTTCACTGGACTGTAACAGAAGACTTGGATTTGAGGCAGACCCAGCTTTTGACAGCCAATTTCTACCCTGTAAGAAATAAACCACAGGGCTTCGCTGTGCATTGCTCAGGAGGGGCTCTCAGTGGGTCACTTCACTACCAAAAATACCTTCTGGGTGAGCACACAAATGGTTGCAAACTTGTTATGGCCTGGGACTTCTTTGAGGAACCCTTCCAGTATCAGCTGCTGGCAGAGCAGTTTCCACCAGTTCTCTGGCCACTCTTTTCCACAGCCAAAGAGGGAGTGCCTCCGGTACCGCTCCGGCAAGCGTTGGGAGCACTGGAAGTTGGGAAAGAATCTGTCAGCTTTGGCCACTCCTTGCACAGGGAAACTTCAAGTACAATCAGGACAGCCTAGTGAGGGTCCTCCTCTAACCTATTCCACTCCTCATCTACTTTCTGCCAAGGTCACAGCAAGTTAATTTTTCCCTACATACAACGGCGTGACAATCAGCAGCTTAACTTCAGGAAAAGGTTAAACAAGGAACATAATTCTTACTCTAATTGATTTCCAGTGAGCTTTTTGCTTAGTATTTCAAAACAATTAAAATTAAAGGTATATAGAAATTAATTTATATTCATTCTGGTACCCTACTGACTGCTGCAATACTCCAAGTCAGACAGCAACACAAAGCTACAGTGGAAACCATCCTTTGCTTTATTTAAACTTAAGCCACCTAATTGAGCCAAGATGTTTATCCTTCATTCTGAAAAGGCTGGTCCCTTCAAGACAATCAAAACTATGCATTTTCATAAAAAAATTAGAGGACAGTCATCTTGCTTGTTGCTTGGGGAGTGGAGCTGAGCAGCTTCCCAAAGTCAAGGCTACCTCTCTACACCAACATCCATCTCTCCAACAAGAATTAACATGAATGTATATCTATGTACTGACTGATAGATCAATTAAGAAGGACACTGTCACAGCCTCTCCCCTCAGAACACACACAAGGAGCTGCACCATCACTTACAGACCCTCGAAGAAGCAGAATTGGCATTTTGGTCCCAAACTTCTCATCCAGGGCAGTGACTGCAGACAGCAGCTGCTGTGCTTGCTTCCCAAAGTCCTGCAATCCACCGTCAAAGTCACTGGGGACTGCGAGGCTGGAGCTGCTGGAAGGCACAAAGGAAGCCAGGCTTAACACAAACAAATCCAGTCCCCTCTCCTTTGCTCCACATATTGTCAACCCAGTAATTAATAAAATAATTAAATTAAATAACCACAAGTGATTGACCTGTATTTAATCTCTACCATCAGTCCTAGCTCTATACATTTAAACACATTTAATTATTTATACCAATGTAACTTCAAGACATTTATATTTCTATCAATGTAATTTCTCAGACAACTGCCCAACCCACAGCAAGCTCTCCACGGCACCTGCTGTTAAGAACATTGTCTCAGCAGTCTTTGAATTCAGTATTTAAATATTTGCATTGGTTTGGGCATGCACAATATTTTTTAAACTGCACTTAAAAGCTTTTTTCTGTTTCTTTAAGAACATGAAGGAAAAACAAAAACCAGAAATAAAGAACAAACCCATTAAAGGCTATGTAAGGTTTGTTAATATATTTCTTACTGACTGAAAGAATCCACTGTAAAGTTACTGGCACCAACCACTTGTAAGGAGAAAAATCATCTATGTCAAGTGATTTCAGTTCTGCAATACAAATTCACTACCTGGCTCTTTATTAACACAGTAAAGAGGGAAGTTATGATCTCTTAAATTGTTTTTTTTTTACTTAGTTGTAGTAGAGGCCAGGCAAAGCTGTCCTAATCCATGGCATACAGAAATTCAGTAGCTGAATTGGTTACACTTCTCCAGAAAGCAACACAGCCTAACATCTTGCCTGGGATCAGAAAGCATCAGGCAATCAGCAAGAGCAAGGAATGCTGGACTATAACTTCAGGGAAAGCTTTATTGTAACCACAGAACCAAGTGACAAAGGTGTTTCTGTTTATACTTGTGTGACTATCAGCCTCCTGAGTCCCCCTCAGCACATCCATGAAATTATGAGCAAGGTTAAAAGAGCACATGTCAGCACAGGAGAACAGCTCCCCGGACACTGGGGCAATTTAGCCTTAGACACCTGGTACCACACACCATTTGCAAGTGTTGTCTTTTGGGATTAATTACCTAACAGGGCTTAAACCAGTGAATAGAGGTGTTTTTCACCGAGTTGTTCTAAATCCCTGTGATCCTGCTCTGTTTCCAGGCTTTCTCACAGCCTAACTTGGAGCTCATCATGGTTTGCTCAACTCACTAGAGAAAGGTTAGAGAGATGTTCAGAAATAAACCTCAGGCTGAACAGCTGCAAGATCAGATGCGTGAAAGTCAATTCTTTCAGATAATTTGCCTTCTAAGTCAGTGTGAGGGAACATCACCTCTAGGATCAGACTTCAGGGAAGAAAGCTTACCTGGACCTGCAATTATCACAACATTCTTCTGTGCCCATGATGCCAGAGGAAACCTTTCGGAGTTGTCTGTCTTCAAAATGAGACAGGATGATTCTACCCAAGGGAACAAAAAGAATTCAGTAAAAGACCACGAATTTACACAGAAAATTTATTGCAGAAAATGGACTTGAAATCAGCATCATTAATTAATTCACTGGGGAACCAATTATTTAGCCTTGATTCCTCTAAAGAAAAAGTCTTTTTTTAAAAAAAAAGCAAATAAGGACACGTATAAATGTGCTGAAGGTTGTACTTTTGATACTGCTCGTTAATACAGAATAGAACGTTCTGTGCTTGTAGAACACACTGAGAGTCTGACATGCCCCTGGTTACTGGTGCCCAAGTCCCAGCAGCTCTTATCAAAGCTGCCTGCAGTGACAAAGCACTAAACAGGCTCCAGCACTCACTTCCTCCTGCAGCTGTTGGACACCAGGTACTTCTCCATCTTGGCCAACATCTTCAGCTTGTACAGCCGGAACTTCTCGTTGTTGATCTCGTTCAGCAGCCGCCTGAGACAGAAGCAAAAAAAAGCAGAGCTTTAAATGCTGACCACTATTCCCCTGTCCCACATCAAAAACTAAATGTGCCAGACAATGCTCTCTAATTCACTAGGAAGAGCTAGAAAAAATATCCTACTAAAACCAGAGCCAAGCTGCCTGCCTGCTTCTCTACCACCTTGATCCTCAGAGCACAGGGCATACTCACGAGAGCCCTTTATCTAAAATTATCCCAAAGAGGCTAGAACAGGAGAGAGACAGAGAGGTTCTTGCAAGCCCACAGAGACCCATGGCAAAAGGCCTTGAGGAGGGAGAAGAGGGCTCCTGACCTGTTACAGAGGAGGTCTGTTGCAGCCCAGAGGACGTGGCAGGCAGCGGGGAGCCCGTCACGCCCGGCTCTCCCCATTTCCTGGTAGTAGGATTCCATCTCCTTCGGGGCACCGTAGTGGATCACCAGCCTGATGTCTGCCTTGTTGATGCCCATCCCAAATGCCACCGTGGCCACAACACACTGCAAAACAGGAGCCACGTGCCTTCAGGTGATCCCAAATATGCCTGGGTTAACTCACACACATTTGGTGTGAATCTGCTGTCACAGACTCAAAATTCAGCCTGAATTACAGCAGCTTCAGAGCCACAGGGCTGAGTTTGGCCAGAGCACAGCCACAGGATTTTAACCAAGAGAGGAATTATGTGCTGTGGCAAATGTAGGAGTGCTTTCAAGGAGCTGTTCTCAACAGGCACAAAACAGATGATGAAAAGCAACACAAGAAGTCCCAGGATACCTCTGCTGCCCAGGAAAGAAGCAGCTCACAGAAGGTGTGATCTTGTTCCAGCTACCACCATTTTCCTTGAATACCATGCATTTTTAAGGGAATTACTACAGAAATTCAAAAGATAAGCCAGGAATCTTATTCCCGTCAGCACAGACCAGCAATTTCTTCACCCAGAATTGCAGACAGAGGACATGGCTAACACAGGTTGCTATTCCAAAATCATCTTCTACCACAAACTCTGAAATTCTAAATAGGACCAAGAGAATTTTGTTTCCCACATACCTGAATTTCATCCCTCATGAAGCGGTGGTGAGTGTCTCTCCTCTGTTTGTTCCCCATCCCAGCATGGTAGGTACCACAGGCCACGTTGAGTCTATTCAGTGCACACACCACCTGCTCAGTGGCCTTTCTTGTAGGGCAGTAGATGATAGTGGGGCCTTCAAACTCATACACAGAACTGCTAAAAATAACAACAACAACAACATGTAAAGACACAGGAAAAAAAAAAAAACCACCTGCCTGTAAAAAAATACATCTGAGGGATAAAAACCAGGCTTAAATCCTTACCTTCCTTTCCTAGTTAGGAACTGCTTCAAATCCCTCATGATGTCTCCACTTTGCTGTCCAACTTCCAGGTACAGGTTAGGTCTGTCAAAACTGGTGCAGGTGACCTGGGGATTCCTCAGGTTCAGGCATTTCACTATGTCCTCTCTAATCGAGGGACTCGCAGTTGCAGTTAAAGCAATAATGGGGACCTGCAAAGAGATGAAGAACATTCATGACCTCTCATAGACAGTTTTTACACCAAAAACCTCAAGAGTCTACTGATACAGAACCTAGACAGGCACTTTAATGTGTTTAGCATCAGATAAGCTCACTCATTTGAAAAATATAGTTAATATTGAGCTTCTTGAACATTTTAGACCAAAGCTCTTGATAGAGCAGATAGGAACAGAACACTTTAAATACCAAGTTTTATTCTGAATGTATCTTCAAAGAGTACACAATACTTCACTGATGTGATTAACTAAATTTAGGGAATACAGGATGACACTTTCAATAAAAGCATGTTAAGTTCAGGTCTCAATTTCTGAGCTTATGCAGTAAGTGCTTGAGGAGTGTCTAGAAATCAGTGGCATGCTCCTACAAGCCACTAAGTCAGGTAAAACAAAATACTCCAATATTAAAGCAGAAGCTTAGGGACATCATCTTCCTCAGCATAGGGATCCAAAGCAATTTAAATTTCCTAAGTTTCTGTAGTCCAAGTTCAGAGCATCCTTTGTTTAAACATTGGGAAAAACCTACAAAGTCCAGTCAGTGCCAGGGATGCTCCAACTCCAAACCAGCATGGTCAGCACACCCAGAGTACGACATTAAAAAGCTGCTATTTCCAAACTATCACACAAAACCCTTCTCTTGCATCAGTAACTCAATAGAGCCAAACCTCACCGATGGCAGAGTCTTCTTTAAGGAGCCTAAATTTCTGAAGGAGCTCCTGAAGTCATGGCCCCACTCGGAGATGCAGTGAGCTTCATCCACAGCAATGAGGGTGATACCTGGGGGACACAAAACAAGCCCCAGCTTTGCTGAGAAGTCACCAGCACTGCTTTAGCTTTTGCTCCTGGGATGCTTTCTGCTGCAGCAACTTAAAGGCCTCTTGCATAAAGAAGTCCAAGGGCTTTCACAGTCTCCCCCCACCACAACCCAACATCCCTCACACAGATCAAAATCGCTGGCTGGTTCCAACAGGACCTTGTCCCATTTGCTGCTTCTCAGTCATAGTCAGAATTAAGAATTACAGATGCCATTGGTTGCATTTTCTGGGTTGTAACACCAAGCCTGATTGTCTCAGACAAACACATATGATTTTTTTCATCAGTGACAGGATCTTGTGTGATGAATGGGGTAACTACTCTCACCAAGAAGTGTGTGATATGTCTTCAATTATCAAAAAGGCTTAAACATAATTATCAATTTAAGCTGCTTGACAACTCACCCACACTTATCTCCAACTTACCAACAGTTTGGTCAAGGTCCTGAAGTAACTTTAAGTTTCCTGAACAGAACTCTGGAGTCATGTATATGACTCTGTACTGACCCCTGCAAGACCAGAGAAAAACACACTGACACAGAAGAGAAGACCCCACACAATTAAATTCAATAAAATCATGATTGCATTGAAAAACAATATGAGAAAAACAGATCTTTGATGGGAAACAAGAAGAATTAAGTGAAGAAGAAGAAGAAAGTGAAGAAAATATTCCAGAACTGAAGGAAAGCAAGGCATTACAGGAAAAGAAAAACCAGATTTGCCAGCCTTTAGAATAAGAATGGATTGCTGTGGTGATGACAGAGATAGGCCCAAAACCTGACTAAAATCAGGTATTAATCAGAACACAGCTGAGTCAATAAGCTCCATCTCCCCAGCTAAAAGGCACAAGAGGGTGGCTCTAGCCTCCCACACACTCAGCCTGGGAGAATGCAAACAAAATCCTGAGTACCAGCTGCCAGGGCTGGGCCAGAACCAGGAGTTGCAGTGATGATGGAGCAGAGAGACATGGTACCCCTCAAGCACCCCTATGTCAGAGCCCAGAGTACCAGAAAGCTTGGCTGAAACTCACCCTAGGATGGAATCCCTGACCTGTTTCGACTGAGCTGAACCAAGGAAACAAGCTGGAATCCCTGTCATTCTGCAGAAATAAAAAAGCACAATCACGAACAGACTCACTCTCCAAGCTTTAGCTCCCAGCCTGTGCCAGCATTTCTAAAGGAAGTTCAAGCTGTGAGGTCAGAGACTACTTTCTTCCAGGATATTTGTATGAAACACCTTTTGAAAAAGCAAGAGTGGTGCATGGCTCTTCCTGCTACTCAAACGCTCTTCCACTCCTGTTTCCACAAGACACAAGCTGGATTAGTAGGAAGCAGAGAAAAGAAGACAATCTTCCTTGCACAAGTTCACAAAGAAAACATCCAAAAGAATATGCTAGATATGTTTTCTTCAACTATTCACTGCTAGCCCACAGTGCTTTACCTTGTTCAATCTTTTGTGAGCTACAGATGCTGCATGTGCTAATTTTAAATCAGGTGGCTAGTTTTTAATGACATAATAACCAGCTCAACTAATTCATATTTTACCTCTCAACTTGGTGATTTGCTGCTTTGTCTCAGAGCCCTTGGTTTCATTTCCATAGCTGCTCAGTCCACACTGCAGCCAGACTGACAGACAAACTGCTGCAGTTTCCCACTGGGAAGGTACTGAATAAACCCATTCCACTGAGGAAAACAGTGGAAAAGTCAGCAGCAGCTGAACACACAGACAGCCTGCTGAGTAATAATCAAGGAGCTTAGGCTGTCCAGCCATTCATCTGCACACAGCCACAACGTGCAGCAGAAAATGCCACACATAATTGATGTTCTTCACTTCAAAACATCTTCATATTCCCTTTCACAAAAGACTCGTTCTTCCCAAGTTGGACAAGGCAGGAATGAACTAGACAACTCAGCATGAGTCGCACAGCTTCAGTGACAAAGTGTCAGAAGTGAATAGCTCTTACAATAGGAAGTGAATACATGTGGAGAAAGCATTATCAGGTATTAAAAATCAAAGAGATTTATCCTGACAACACCTAAAACTGCTCATGTCAGAATGATGTGGGGTCACCCACAAGTTCCCCCCTTCAGATGTCTTAAGAAGTGAAGAGGCCAGGTGTTAGGAGACCTACTACACTGTCCCTCTTGAAAGCCTGTGCTGTAGCTTTGATCTGGATTGCCTACAGCTTCCAGCAGTTCTGGGTTCACATGTCACTCCTCAGACCCAAAGGAAGCCCTACCAAACTGTGACATGAGTCTGACAGCCTCAAACAGCTCCCACACCACTTTGGTCTGGACACCAAAGGCCTGTGAATCCAGAAATAAGTGCCTTCAAAAACCTCTCACCAGCGTCCATCCTTTGCAACTTCAGCCTCTGGTTCACCTACGTGGCAAATCCAGGGATCTGAGACTGCTGACACAGGCTGTGTGTGTTCCTTGTGAAACACATGCTCTGCAGCTGACACACAAACAGCCCTGCTGTGCACCAAGCTCCAAAGGGGAAACACCCAGGAATGCCACAGGCAGGATGCCTGTGAGTCCATGGGCAATCCAGAGCAGCCTGGCACTGCCACCACGTTACTCACGTCAACTGCAGCACCTGGTCCTCCATCAGGGAGATGAGAGGGCAGATGACAACTCCTGTGTGTCCAGTGTAAACAGGAGGAAACTGGTAGCACAAGCTTTTTCCATAGCCTGAGAGGGAAAAAAAAAAAGCAAAAGTGAGACATCATGCTTTCTATGCAGCTACAACAGACAATTCTAACACGTTAATGAGCCCAAAAAACCAAGCCATGTCTGTTTTACTACTCTCTCCCCAAAAGGGAACGATTTTTTAATTGTTTCTTAGGATGCAATGGTAACTCACCAGTTGCCATGACAACAAGATTATCTCTTCTGTCTTCCAAAAGAGAATTGATCACTTTCCACTGGACCCTTTAAATTAAACAAAAGGGAATACTTGATTTTTGCCACCACAGATAACAAGTAAATTGCATAAAACTGCATATTCTGTTGAATTGTGGGTTAAAGGGACCCTTGAGGCTGCCTCAGAGTGCTGTCTTTGCATGCTGCAGCCACTCAGACACTCCAAGTGCTGCAGGCAGGGCCACAAGTGCCAGAGTGGGGATCTCTAACAGGACTCAAGCAAGCAGCACTTGATGTAGACACTCACAGGAGATCACAAATAATACCTGCAGTTTTCACAGTGTTCGTGGATCACTTATCTCCAACACAAGAGAGTGTGAACAAGACCTGGAATAGTTTGTTGGCAATTGTTTGTTCCCATTTTTTCAAGTAAGCAATGATGAAAACATCTTCCAGGTTGAAGGAAGGGCAGGAACACATTCCCCAGCGTGTCCCCATATTTTAACAGAAAATCTGCTCACGGTTTAAATGAAGAATGCCCAAAATAGGTCTTCAGACACATGATGTGGCTTTCTCCAGGTTCTGGCAGCAGCGGATCTTTAGTGAGAGAGAGGAGAAAACACTAATTTGGGATTAAATTTGAAAAAAAGATAAAGCACTGTCTCCACAAACAACAGTCTGCTCATGGTTCGTGATGCCCAGGGGTTAGAATTTGGGAAATTCCAGTGAAAAGAGAGATATCAAACTCTAGGTATCTACGGCTAAAATGAAGGATTAAAAAAGCACAGAGGCTCCTCAGAGACCCTGCATGAGGAGGAGAACATATGGCTTAATTAATGAGATAAAGCAGCAGGACTGTAATGCATAACTGCATCATCTGCAACAGGATCATCCAAACAAGTCAAGGTGTGTTTCTCCTCACATCTCAGCTGCTTTTCCCCACTTGATTTCTCACCAAAGGGACAACCCCAAAGCAAGTCACAATCACCCCCAAAGCAGAATTTCTTCAGAATTCTGCCATGCAGAAGCAACAGCAGAAGAACACAGGCACACAGGGAGGTGTCACCTCCCCCATGCTGTGTTGTGAGCAGGTCCCCCACAGCCCCACACGGGTTTTACTCCCATGAAGCAGACATCAGCAGAAGTTCATGGCAGAACTTCATTCTCTTTTGCCAAGCACACCTTTTATTTTCATCTTGACACATAGCAAGCTCCCTTGATTTTTCTGGTTTGAGAAACCAACCCCTAAAAGTCACTGTGCTTCCACGGCTGCTGCTACAGCCAGTGATCTTTAAGAATTTATTTCATCATGCACTAAGATTTATTTAAAACCATACCAAAATATTCATCCTCCTCTTCCTCAATGCCTTCATCTTCATCACCATCTGGTGCTACATCCACTTCTGTGTCAGGAGTTTTACTGGGCTCTCCTTCAGGTGAAACTCCGTCACTACCATCTACATCTTTTAGAGACTGAGAAATTAAGAAGAAAAAAGTTATTTTGGAGCATGGAAGGGTAGATAAAATGCCTATCCAAGGTAATACAATATGGGAACCAGGTTTTAATGTAATTGTAACAACTTAAATCTAGTGGGTGGATCAAGTCCAAGCTGGTGTAGGGAACATGACACACGAGGCAAATGACAACCAGCAAACTGAATTCCTTAGGTATCCATGTGTTTATTCTGTCCATCTTCTGTAAGCAGCACCATTTTGCTTCACATTCCCTCCCTTAACTGTGCTCCACTCCACTGTGATCCCAGAGCAGCATCATTAGAAAAAAAAATTGAAAAATCAACCCTGAGGCACTCACTTTCAGCATTTCCATTTCCAGCTCTTCATCGCTCTCAATGACACAGGACACGTTTTGCTCATTGTCTGTGGAACATGCCTCCTACAAAACCAACACCATTCTCTTAGAAGCAAAGTAATTTCCATTTTACCCACAACCTTCCAACCTTTTGTACCTCCTATAAGCCACTTTTCCTTTTGCTTTAACTTCCTAGCAAAGATAATTAAACCTCAACATTCAGTTCTGAGGCCTGTCCATTAAAAACAAAATATCTGAAAGAAATATCTGAACTTAACAAGTTTTCATTACCTCAGGTGCAACTTCACTGACCAATTCCTTGGCAGCCTGACGTTCCAAGACCTGAAGCTCTTGCTCACTAATGTCCAGGGACATGAAGTCATCTCTGTCCTCTTTGTCTGTAAATCTGGCTGCTGGAGCCCCATTTTGCAGAGCACTGTTACCTCTCTGTGCCTCCTCTCCACCCATTTCTTCCTCCCAGAGGGCAGCCAGTGTAGCATCAGAGCAGATGTTGAGGTCACCTTCAGGTTGCTCAGCACATTCTGCTTTTTGTGCTTTGACATTTGCTGACTTGGCTTCAAATACTGTTGTATTTGCACCACAGCTCCTCTCCAGTCCAGAAGGGGAACCTGAGCCCAGCAGGGTGGATTTTAAGGCACTGATGCTCTCTGATATCTCAGCTACTATTTCAGCAGCCCTAGGAGAAAAAAAACAAGGAAGGTAAAACAAAAATCCCAGAGGGAGTTACTACACTTCAGAAGAAAACCCAGCCAAGTTCAGTGTCAAATCCGTTGCAATTAGACCAGAGAAAACACATATTCCTACATATAAAAAAAGTACATTTCCTTGGAAAACAGCAAACAGGTAACAGATGCCTGTTCAAACACGTGTACTTGTCATGTGGGACCAAAAAAGCCAAACACTGATTGTGGAGGTAGAGAAAAGTCAGCAAACAACTGACCTCTGGAAATTTTCCTGTTGTCCAGAAGAGTCAGGGATGTGAGAAGCCAGGTGTGTTATCTCTTCAGCCAGGGAAGCCAAGCTCTCCCTCACACCCTCAGACGTGGCATCTGTAACAAGTGCAAGAATTGGTTATTTTGTAATAACTGGGGTCTAACATCTCTATGTGAACAACTCACATTCCTGTGACTGTTTTCCTACAAGATGGACAGCTGGTAAAACAGCATTTTCCAGGGCTTAAAAATCAAGCACAGAGAATCAGGCCAAGCTTCCCAGTATTTCTGCATTGCCTCTCTTCCATTACACAAGCTCAAGGAAAACAGGTACACAACGGGACTGCTACAAAGTGATCCCTCCCAGCTTCCCTCCAGCTCCTGGAAAAGAGCTCCTAACAAGGACATGCTGACTAAACCAAGGCCAAATCCTGCACCTCGTATCAAGGGGATAGCACTGCCACTTCTGCCTTTGACAGAAGAGTAAAATTCAACCAAAACAAAAAGGAAACCAACTCCTCATCACCCCTCTTTTCCAGCCTTAAGCTACCTGTAATATCTTCATTATGAAACATAGAACTGAACAAGAACTAAGATTTTAAAACCTCCCCTGATGAAGTAAATAATGTTAAGCTGCTCTAAAACATTTGGGTCCTATGGCTATGCCTCAATAAAAACATGACTTCCTAACACGGTTTCTTTTGTGGCCCTATTTCATCTTAAATTAGGTATTGGTCCCTGCATCAGCAGCACTGAAATGAACTCACTCAAGTGTTTCCATAAACCAACTGGGATGATAGAAGGAATTCTTCCCATCTCTGTGTACAGCAGAGATAAACACCAACAAACATCCTAAGAGTACCTTCCTACATCCTATGGAACACAGTCATGGGGTAAGGTTACCCAAGACCTTTTCCTATCTGCTCTCTCTGCAAGTCATTTGGAATCACCAAGAAGCCAAAGAAAACCTGACACTATTAAAATACCTGCTGGGAAATGGAATATGCAATTGTACATAGAATAAATTCCTCATGCCTGGATGGACAATTTACCTTTCCTCACGCTAAATAATTTCCGGTCACTCTTACTCATATTTTTCAATTTTTCATAAACAATGTAGCCAGCCTAGGAGAGAAATGAAATAATTAGTACTCAGTACTCCACAGAGAAAAAACAACAACAAAAATTAACCAGGAGTTAACGAGGCAAAGCATGGCACCAGTAGAGCATGACCATCAGAATTCCCATCTGGAATGCAGGTCACATCATAGTAATTACTACCCTGACTCCACTGCTCATCAGGACCAGGTTATGAGTTACAGAATGCTGCACTAAGGGCCAAATGCTGACTTGGAACTCCCTCTGGAATGGATACTCTTACACAGATCCCAGAGTGGGCAATCTCAGCAAGCTCACTGCACACAGAAAGTTCCCAGTACTCAGCTCCCAGTCCCACCATCTGCTCACCTCATTCAGATTTCATGCCATGCTCCAGGAGAAGAGCTACAAACCTACCAAGATGGATTCGGTGTGTTTAGTGTTTCCCTTGGTATGAATAATGAGTTCTAACAGAAAAATACAGCCCAAAGCCAGCAATGTGCTAATTAGGCTACACGTGTTGAAAAAGAAACAAGTTACTCCCTCATGTTTTCCTGGGAGGCTCCAAAAGGTAGGCCAGATGAACAGAGCATAGTGGGAAAGATGCACTGCCTGGAAAAAAAGGGCTACAAAAGCTGAACCAGGCACAAAAAAAAAAAAAAAATTAAAATGTTTTCCTTAATGTTTTGGGTCTTCACAGGTGCTAAACCCTCCAAGGCTGAACTTGAAACGAGAAGTCAGAAAAGGAACCATTGTCCTGCTTCCCTTCCTCTAAGCCTAGAAATAAGAGACTGAAGGGATTGTTTTTTCTTGCTATAAGGAATGATTTTCTCCCAGGAAGCAGGTGGCACCTGGTAGCATATTGATAAAAGCCTTCACAGAACTGCAGATAAACCAAAATTCATTCAAAACACCGTAAAAACAGGGACTTGTAGAGAACCACAAGACTCCTATGCAACTGAACTGCTCCTGACAGTCCATATTGTGGTTCTCCTGTATTAACCACCAAATTGCTTTTGAATTTCACCTCCCATACTACATTTAACAATATTTGGGTTCATTAGCAGCTAAACAAGATGACAAAACCAGAAGGAAAGACACCCAAAAGTGCTAACAAGCTACAGCAACACCTGCAGATAAGGGACTAAAGAAACAACCAGCAGCTAAGAGCACACTGGAGCAGGGATTTACTGCCAGAGGTTGGAATGGTGATCCCCTGTGGTACATACATAGGCATCTGTGGCTGCATAGAGCTTCTGCTCCTCGTTGAGTGGAAACTTTTCCCAGCTGCTGCAGCGGACAGACTGATCCTTCAACAGCTGCCTGCCAAAAAGGTGCTTCACCAAGCCATTCAGACTCCAGGTCTCCTTACACTTCAGCTGAGGAAAAAATAAAACAAACAAACCACCAAAAGCAGAGGATTTGTTTAAAATGGAAAGCACCTGCACCTCCCCAAAAAGAGCCAAGTGTACTCAATCCCTTGTTAGAAGCAAAGAGCTCTGGGTTAGTCAAAGCATACTTAGTTTTTCAAAGCAGTAACTCTTCTCAGTGCTGTCACACTCAAAAATATGAAGAATCTGTACAAAGCAACCTCTGGGTTGATAAAATAAAAGCCCTAGACTTAAGCAGCAACCCCTCTCTCCTCCAGGATTTTCCTGTTATTTGCCTTTCTAATTAGAAAAAGTCAGTATCAAGCACCAGGGATTTATCTGATAAAAACACAGGGATATTAAAGCCTGCCTGTGAGTGTTGGACAAAGCAGAAGAGCAGAGCTCCAGCCCACACTAACCAGTGCTGGGAGTGCTGGGAAGCAGCTCATCCCAAGCCTCCAAAAGCCACCCCAGCACGCTGCTGCCTCCAACTGCCTTTGCAATCCCCTGTCAACCACAGTGGCTGCACACTGCTGTCTCGAGGGCCAGGCTGGCAAACTTGGCTTCAGAGCCCAAGGATCCAGGCCTGCTGTTATTCCAGCTTGGAAAACGTGCCCAGCACAGCACAGCAGCAGTACAGCATGAGCAGCTCATTGTCTGGTATTAAAAAAAAAAAACCTGTTCTTTTTAGGCTCCCCCAGCCCTTCCCTTCTCATTGTGCCATTATATATAACCCTGTTCTTCTGTTCTCTTTCAAGTTTATTTTTGGTTTGTTTTCTCTTTAGCAGAAGACTTTTAAGCTGCTATCAGAGAGATCACATTGCTCATCTTCCTAACAAATTATCCCGAGTAGAACTACGGGAATTAAAAAAATAAAAAATAAAAATAAAAAAAAGGGGGAGTAACTGAGCAAAGTCCAAATTTGAGAAGCAGCAGCTCCTCTTACTGCTTGAGCAAAAGAGTTCATTTGTATCATTTTCAATCCACTAGGAAGCCAAACTCTGAAGTGGCTCCTATGAAAAGCACTGCTCCAAATGTTGATGCTGCATCACAGAAGGAATGAGAAATGCATGGAGAGACCAAGCACAGGTAAGGAAATCCCTGGCAGGTGCAGAAAGAAAAGCTTTAAGGGACATGCTAGAAATAAGGATTTGGAAAGCAACGAACCTTTGGCTCCCTTCCCTATAAAGACAACACAGGTGTCCCTGCATCAAACAATCTGACATAGAACTGTTATTTAGGGTGTGCCAAATGCAGCACAACTCGTGCACAGCAGCTCACCAGGTGCTGGAAACAGCAACCACACCAGAGCTGAGGTGAGAGCAGCCTGAGAATCATAGGAATCGAGGTATTTTTACAGGCTGTGTGGCACAAACACCTCTGGCAGGGAGGACCTGGAGCACCCAGCAAGCCAAGGCAGCAGGGCTGCCTTCTTGAACCCTGTCTATAAGGTTCAGTCATGGCTGGGACAACGACATGACTGCCAGCAGAACAATCAGGCCATTCCCATCACTAAGAATTCAAGGAAAAAGCACTTGCAGCTGAATTAAAAAGGTACATCTTGTAAATACTGTAAGTGAACAGACCTGAGAGGGGGACAAGTGTTGATTAAAAATTGGCTCACTGAAAGACAGTACTTGATTCTGCAGGCTTTGAGAGGTGTTTTCAAACAGTTTCTAAATAAGTTACTATAGATCTCTGCTTTATTCCACAGAACACGTTTGCTCTTGGAATGGAACACCAATCAAGACAGGGAAGCCTCCTTTTGCACAGCACCATAACAAGATTCCCTCCCACACACACAAAAAGGTTTTAAGTTTTACTTTCTCATTAGCAACGTCAGCCAGCTCCACAAAGCTCTTCAGTTTGATTTCAAAGTCACTCATCAGCTTCCATTGATCTCCCTCAATTCCTACGCCAACCTTTTTAATTGTTTCATCTTCGAGCAGCCTTTTGAGTCCCTTGGGAAAACCTAAAATAGATTAAGCCCAAACATGAGAAACTAAATACTGGAAGATGCCAGAAAGTCTCATGGAAATGACAAAATCCAAGCACAAAGGCCATCTGCAAAACCCTGTGCTTTTAAAGGAAAAGCCACCAAAGTTCCTCTGTTTATTTAACTTCTCTCTGGAATGACTGAAAACTTCAACTGGTTGTGATGGATCATCTGCAGACAAGCAAGAAGGAAATACTTAAAATATGCAAATCATCCTGCACCTGAAAACAAATCCAGTGAAAAAAAACCCCAAACCTCGTCTTTCTGATTGTTAAATCACACAACAAAAAAAGCAATCCCTCACTGAGAAAGATACTTGAATACTGAAAACTCTGTGTTCATGACATGAAATCAAATATTATTTTACTATTTTCCACATAATTTCCTCACAGTTTCTGCTATTTCACATTTCTGGGCAACAGTTTAAACCATAAACATGGGAAATCATCAGAAGCACAGATTCTCTGGAGACACACTCAGAGCTAAGGCTGGGCTGCTCCAACAACAGCATTTGGAAAACAAAATTCACCAACCAGATGCTGTGCCAAGCCCAAACATGTCAGTCCTGTCAGCAAGCAAAATCCCACAATGATTAAAGATGCACACAGATTCTGAGTATTATATTCTGATTTCTCCCAAACTGATGGCACAGCAATCCTGGATCAAAGGGTATTTTCAAGCTTACAGGACTGAATTAAAGCAGTCAGCTTTCTCATCTCATTTTCTACAGGAAGAACAGCCACAGACACTTGATCCTTGAACAGTAACAGCCTTTTCCTCCCCTGTGTGTTTGCTCCCATTTAAAATTCAGAGCATCTTATTTAAATCCGTACCTTGAGGACCCCACAGCTGGATACCCTGAATTAGGCTCAAGTGCAAATTTAGTACCTGCAAACACACAGAACTGCACAGGCACACAGTGCTCATCTGCCTTGGGTTTCATTGCAAACATCCCCTTTTCTCAGTCCTGCAATATGTATTTATGTACTTCAACAAACACTTGGCATCACTGATTTTATTTTTGCACAATTATCTCTGCCCTTTGATGGCTGCCACTGCACAGGTACATCTGTAGCTACACCCACAGTCGGCTGTGTCGTGGACTGGGAAATGGGAGATCCACCCCAAAGCATTAAAAAATAAACTGATAAAAACCCCCCAGGTAGTAGCAGCCTGGTGCTGGTGGATGCAGACCAAGCACAGCATTTCCAAAGCATGAAAGCCACAGGAAAACGTGAAAAATCCTCTAGAAAGGGGAAAGAATTTGGTCAAATAAAAGCCTGCAACATACTCAGCTGGGTAGCTGTACATGGGATTTTCACCTAAGGGAATCATCATTAAAACCTGCAAGGATGGGCACTCCCCAGTAGAGGACTCGTGCCCCATTTCCACCACCTCATTCCTAGAAAAGTGACTATCAAAACCAAAAAGTCTAAGTTGAAGACTGCAAAAGCTACAATCTGATAAACAGGTCACATTTTGAGAAATCTGTAAGGAAACCTAAAAAATACTAATAAATTGAAAATTACAAACAACCTTCCCAACATGTAAACAAATAAATGTGTTTTTGTCATTTATACACAGTCCAAGAATGCTCAATTCCTCTTGCAGGAGGAAGTTTTTCTGCTACGACTTGCTGCTTTTTATTGTGATCTGGCCAGCATTTCTGCAGATCATATCTATTGCCATAATAAGCAGGAATTGCCTCTGGTTCCTGCACAAGTCACTCAGCTCAAAGTGCATCTTCCATTGACAAGAAGAGGCATTTTGGAAAACGTGTATTCTGTAACACAGCAGCCCACGTGCAGCCACGCTCGGCACTGGCACACAAACATCTCCCCTGCCACAATCAAAAGCACTCCAGCTCTTTATGGCCTTTCTTCCCTCAGCTTCCTCTCCTCACATCATTTTCCTTTGTGCTCTCGAGCCTCCCTGACGGAATAGCCTCCAGCAATTAAATTTTCCACCCCATTTGCTCTAAATGACAAAGGATTGAACACCAACATTAAAATTATCGCTATTATACCTCAGCACGAGTCCCCCAGGGAAATCAGAAACCTCTCACAGGCATAGTTTCAATCTAACATTTTAAACCAAAGGTTATAAAATTGCCATCTCCTTCCCTCATCCCTGTTTTCCCTATTTGGAAGCTTTTATTCACAGCCATAATGAATTGAGCCTCTGCTAAGCACACCCCCTTCTCTCCCTTCAGCTGCATCACATCAGGTACCCAGTATTCTTTCCCAAAGCTGATGTCATATAATGCAGGTACTGGGAATAGAAAGCACAAGAACCATCACTCTTGAGGCTTTTTGTTGAAGCCAAATGAAAATAAAAAACAAAACAAAACACAAAAACCCCCACAGCCCGCTCTATTTAGGTTCATTGTTGATTTTGGCACTAAACAGAAAACTCATTATAGGAGCAAGGAATTAAGTTTTTAAAACTGGAATAAAATATTCTCTCCCAGACAGAAAAATAATCCCCAAGTAAGACTCTCCTCCCCTGTTCAGAACCCACACCTTGTTTTCAAGCACACGTGGCAAGCTAAGATCATCTTAATATATAGGCATCACTCAAAGAATAAACCCCTTTATTACAGGTGGGAAAGGGGAGAAAAAGGGTGGATTTTTGCTGTCCCATACAGTAGGACATATCACCCACTGATCAAGGCTTATGTTCAAGCTTAACCACAAGAAATAGCGAGCAGTTCACACCCTAAATAAGAGGGGAAGTACAGTACCTGCCATGGAGGAGATGTGGAACAAGTAACACCTGTCCTCAGCGACACACATCTGGATTACAGCTGTTTTGGACATCTTCCCTTTTGTGTATGATGGTGGCCACTCAATGTCAAATCCAACGGCAGCTCCATCTGATAAACTCTGCCTGGAAAGGAACAGATCTCCCTCACATTTATCTGCTGCTCTATCAGCATTTAAAACACCAACCTTAAGTCACCCCACACGAACACGGAAGGTGCACTGGCTGTGATTATTCCCATTTCACATGTGCAAGGCACAGGAGCCATTTCACAGCACAGACCACTTCGTGCTGATCCACAGAGGCACCTGAAATGCTTCAAAACTCTGCAGATCTGCTTGCCAATAGCAGCACATTGTTTATAAATAGCTGCGGGCTGTGGGTGCAGAGAAGGACAGGGAGAGGACACGCAGCAATTACCGGCATGGGCAAAGCAAATACATCAAAATAAACTGATTTCCCACCAATCAAATCAGAGTAGGATAATGGGAAATAAAACCATCTTAAAACACCTTTCCCACACCACTCCCTTCTTCCCTGGCTCAACTGGACTCCCAAATTTCCTACCTCTTCTCCTTCAGCACCACAAGGACAAGGCCTTTAGCCCCCCACCACTAAACTTGACCACACAGGCCTCAAGGACAGCCAGAGGCAAAAATGATGGAATACTCCTTTGAAAGGTTCTTCTTGATTCACCCCCTGATCCCTAGAAAGACAGTCCTTTATTTATCCCACAGCACTGGAAGCTGGGCACAGAATTTCTTCCTCCAGCAACGTGAGCTGTGCTACACAAAAAAGGGAAAAATAATAATCTATTTGCAGCATTAATTTACTGTCTTTTCTTTAAAAATTGCAAGTTAAGAATTAACACTTGCCCATTAAGTCACTGAAGCTCATGGAATTTTCCATACTGTGAAAGGCAAGTAATCTGCATTGGCAAGTCCTGAGCTTCTGCTTTGAGGGACTGAAAGGTTCAGCAAAGGAACCTTCCACCAACAAGGCCAAATGGGAAACCGTTCCCAGGAGCTGAGTCCCTCCCAAAAAGAAAGGAGGACTCAAAGTATAAAAAAAACCTGAATATCAGCTGTTACCTGATATCTTCTGCAAGAAGAGAACAGTCACTGGATTCATAGCTATAAACAACAGAGCCACAGAATTCCAGGAATGGCAGCCCATCCTCCAGAACACTCCTCTGGGCACCAGGCTTCTAGCAAACAAAATTTGGGAGAGATCTGGTTACCTACCTGTCCTTACCAGGGACATCCATCCCAGCCGGGCTCCCCTTTATCAAAATATCTGGGTTCCTGCTCCAACTTCTCTACTCAGCTCTGAGCGCTCAGTGAACAAAAAGTAAAAGTTATTGCTGTTTCATCTGATAATGTTTAATACCCAAGCTACTAACCATTTACTAATCAACTAATCATTTACTCCCACTTGGTGGAACAACAGCTGCTGAATTTGATCCTCTGCTTTTCACCTCGTTAATAATTTTCCAACTGTTGAAGCTATTTCAGGTGTTACAGGGATCCTGAGGGAAGGTCCCTTCTCCTGGGCGTTTTTATAGTGAACTGCTCATACACACAGAAAAAAAAAAAAAGCAAACCCAAGGACACTGTAACACTTACAGGACATCAAAAGCTGATGAACAATTAATTCAGCTGACACATTTGAGCTGCAAATCCTGGAATATTTAACACATGAAGGACACCAGAAAGGACCTTCCCAGAACCAACTCCCCTACCAGGCCACAGCTCGAGGTCTCAAATTAAATGGATGAGCAATCCCCCATCCTCGCTGATGTAGAACCCACATTCCTGGGTGAGCACCAGGAACACCAAAATTCCCTCAGAGGCACAGGCCTAACCCTAAGCACATTCTCCAGAGCTGGGTTATTATACAGCCTGCAAAGCATCCCTGAGCCATGACCCACCTTTTTATGCCCCAAACAAGCTTCCTCCTGGCTCTCCGTAAGCATCCACTGGGGATACTTACCCTGCAGGCCTGCAGTTACCACATCCATTTCTGACACATCTCTGTAACTGCCGCATTAATAAAAAAAAAGAACAAGAAATTAGAACAGTCAGCAGCTCACATGGAGATGAGCTGTCACTATCATCAGGCCTGAAAAAAAAAACCGTTTTGGAAAGCTATATTTTTTTAATTGATTTCTAAGGTTGAAAAGACTTTTCCCTTGGTGTGTAGCAGCACAACCAGCTATCTTCTCCATTTCAACTCCAACAAGGATTTTGACACTAAAACATAGACACGGCAGGAGTTCTCCTTTACAGCCACTCAGTTCTTTGGACTGAGACTGCCAGGCACAGAAGAGAGCAGTGCAAAAGCTGGAAATAAAGGACACCCTGCAGCACCCACAGCCCCAAAAATCAGCAGGAAGCTCCAGAGCACCTTTGGCACCTAGACACGATCCCGCACCACCTCCCACCACAGCATCACCAACCGGCCCAGAGTTAGGCCAATAGCCAGAACTCGGGACCGCTCAGCATCCAGCAGTAAGCGGCCATGCAGCTCAGGAGCCCGCGGGATAACTGGCAGGGGACATGGAGCCGCCGACAAGTCCTCACACAATGGCTAACACGCCTTCTGGGCCACAGGAAAGAGCACCCTCAGCGCTGGGCAGGCTGCCGGGACCCCCTCGTAGCGGCTACTCCCAGTACCGCCTGTCCCCCACACCGTCCCCGGCGCTGCCCTCCTAACTCCCAGTGCTCCCAGTACCCCCACCAGTGCCGTCACCGCTTCACCCGCTGTCCCCCAGCGCCCCCAGCACAGCAGGCCGCGGCGCGTTCCCCCCGCAGTGCGAAGGGCCGCGGTCCCGCGGTGCCGGCGGAGCCCGCAGCAAGGCGGCAGCAGCTCCGAGGGGCCCGTTCGGTCGCGCCGCGGCCTCCCCGCACCCTGGTACCTGGGAGCGCCGGGCGACCCTCGCGGAACCCGCGCTGCGCGCACATTATGCGTCACGCTGCGTCGCGCCGTGGAGACGTCACGGATGGCGCCCCTCCCCGTCTCAGCTCAGGTTACCCGAGGTGACGCGCACGCGCAGTGCTGCGGCGACCGCGGGGCACTGTGGGTGTTGTAGTCCCGCGGTTGTGAGGGCCGCGAACCCCCCGGCGCCCCCCGCGCTGCCGCCGCCGCCGCTCTCGGCCGGGCGGGGCCGGGGCGGGCCGGGGAGGGCCGGGGCGGGGCGGAGCGGGCGGCGGGGGAGCGCCAGCCCGTGGCTCTGCGCGCGGGGGGGGGCGGTGGGGCCGCCGGCTGCGGGCGGTGGCGGCGGCGGCGGCGGCAGCGGCGGCTGAAGGGCAGCGGCGGCGATGGGCGCTGCGGGGTGAGTGACCGGGCGTGGGGAACGCGGCGCTGGGGGGCGCGGAGGGGCCGCGGGGGTATGGGGGGCAGTGATGGGGGGGAGATTCTGTGCTGGGGGGCGCTGGGGGGGCCCCACTGGGGCACTGGGGGGCACTTTCGGGACATTGGGTCAGTGCTAAGAGTACCGGGGGACAGTTCTGGGAACACTGGGGGGTTCTGGGGAGCGATGCTGCAGCCCGGGGGGCTCTGGGGGGCAGTGCTGGGAGCACTGGGGGGTAGTTTTGGGGCACTGGGGGGCAAGGGGTGAAGTTGTGGGAGCACTGGGGCAGGAGGTGTAGTGATGGGGAGCACTGAGGGGGCAATACTGAGACACTTGGGGGCCGGGAGGGCAGTACCGGGGCAGTGAGGAGGGCAGGGGGGCAGTACCGGTGACAGTACTGGGGCATGAGGGACAGTGGGGCAGTCCTGAGGAGGGAAGGAACGGAAGCCTTGGGGGCACTGGGGTAAGAGATGCAGCGGTGGGGGGGGGTCCATGGGTACCGGTAGGCAGGAGGGCAGTGCTGGGGGAACCCCAGTGCCCCCCCGGGGCCCTGGGAGGAAGAGCAGACAGGGTGATGGAGGGGGAAGGCAGCGGCACGGGGACAGACCCTGCAGAGGGGAGCCGCAGCCCTGGGAGAGGGGTGAGTGCCCCCGAAACGGGGCACCATAACCCACCCCCGTGGGGCAGCTGGAGAGTCTGCAGTACCACAGGGGCAGGACAGGGGGGCTGCAGGGCTGGGAGTCCTGCTGGGGAGTGCCGCTGGAAGCAGGGCTCCCTTGTCCGGGAGCCGGAGCACGGGAGGGGAAAAGCGCCCAGGATCCTCGGGCTGCGATGCTGCGTGTCAGTGGCAGCGGAGAGGGATGCAGGAGCCTTTGTAGGGAGAGCAGCGCCGAGCGGAGCCGCTGCCGAGGAGCTGAGCAGGCCCCTGGTGCTGATGTTGTCATCTGTGTCTCTGTTGTGTATTATTTCCAGCTGATTGGTAAAGATGGAAAGAGGGAGAGGAGAAGGAGGAGGAAGGAACCTGGGAGGCTCTGGCCTGCACAGGAACATTTATTCCCAGTCCCAACAGCAGTACCACTACCCGGCCTCCTCCCAGGGGAGCTGCATGGAGATCCAGGAGCTGGCCTCCAAGAGGGTGGACATCCAGAAGAAGCGGTTTTATCTGGATGTGAAACAGAGCTCCCGCGGCCGCTTCCTGAAGATCGCCGAGGTCTGGATAGGAAGGGGCAGGCAGGACAACATCAGGAAGAGCAAGCTGACCCTCTCCTTGTCCGTGGCTGCCGAGCTGAAGGACTGCCTGGGGGACTTCATCGAGCACTATGCCCACCTGGGCCTGAAGGGCGGCCATGGCCACCGGCACGAGCACAGCAATGACAAGGAGCAGCATTCCCGAAGGCGGCCACAGCACCCGCCGCCTTCGCCCCCGGCCTCCGTGGGCTCCGAAGAGCCCCCTCACAGCGTCCTCAAAACGGAGTACATCGAGAGGGACAACAGGAAGTACTACCTGGACCTGAAGGAGAACCAGCGTGGGCGCTTCTTGCGGATTAGGCAGACCATGAGCAGGGGACCTGGCATGATGGGTTACTTTGGCCACAGCTTGGGACAGGAGCAGACGATCGTCCTGCCGGCGCAAGGGATGATCGAGTTCAGGGATGCTTTGGTCCAGCTGATTGAAGAATACGGCGAGGGGGACATAGAGGATCGCCGGGGGGGAGGTGACGAGCCCCCGGAGCTCCCCGAGGGCACCTCCTTCCGGGTGGACAACAAGCGCTTCTACTTCGACGTGGGATCCAACAGGTACGGCATCTTCCTGAAGGTAAGTGAGGTGAGGCCGCCCTACCGTAACACCATCACAGTTCCGTACAAAGCGTGGACACGGTTCGGGGAAAATTTTATCAAGTACGAAGAAGAGATGAGGAGAATTTACAACAGCCATAAAGAGAAAAGAATGGATGCCAGAGGGGACAGTGGTGAAGAGCAAGAGGGTCTGGAATAGAGTGCATTGGACAATTAACCAAACAAAGCAAGCAGAAATTGGTGAGAGGGACTGACCTATAGTAATTCCAAGTTACCCCAGTTTTTTGTAAAGCCCTTTTCTGGTAGTTCTTGTTAACTCCAGTACATAATGTTCTAGGAGGCTGGTTATCACGTTAAACTATGCCCAAAACATCTCCGTGTGTCTTAGGAAAGGACCAACCTCCAGAGTCCGTATGAGTCAGCTGCTTCGAGTGTTGGAGACTGGAAGTACGAGTATCAGCACAAACAAAATCCGGCACCCTGACCTTTAAATAGTCTAGAAAAGGCTTGTGTTGCACTTAAACACGATACAAAAGTTCCCCCACCCTGAACCTTATGATGAAATGTATCAGTTTCTGCTTATCACGAGTTTTTCAGGACTGGCTTCTGCCCGTGCTCGGTCCAAAGGCCGAGCAGCATTGCCGTAGAGCACTTATGGCAAAAATCAGCTCCACGTGAATCTCTGGTCTGTGTGTGAGGAGGGAGGGAGGTTTTAAAGTTGGCATCTCCTGGTTATTGAGTTGGAAACAATAGTCTGTTCATGGGTAAAACCTCAATAACCGGTCAGACCTCGGTCACGTGCCGGTGAAGGGCGGAAGATCTCTCATTCATTCCCTAGTTTTGTGCTCACCAGATAACCTGAGTATCCCAGGACAGCGGAGTGCTCAGCCTTCTGAATTAATGGCAGTGAATAATAACCCACTCCTCCTCTCCGTGTTCTGCCCGTTAGAGGCTGGTGATCTTTTTATTTTCTTTATTTTTAACGCATTTTGTCCAACATTTCAGAAGGTATTTTTGTATTAGGCGTTCCAGCAGGCGACTGTGGAGCGGGTGTTGGGAAGTGGAAGGAATGCCGCGTCCGAGGCTCCTGCCTTCTCTCCCAGATTAAGGCAGTTCAGGATGTTGCCTGTGCGAGGAAAGCATTTGGGTGTTTTCCTCCTCCTGCCACGAGGAAGACCTTTGGGGTGCTGGGTGCACCACTGGGTTCGTGTAGAAAGGCATCTCTTTCATGCTCCCCCGTGGCGCGTTTCGGAAGCTGTGGTGGACGCCCCGTTGGGTTTTCTGTTGTGTTGATTGTGGGTGGTGCTGGGGAGACAACAGCCGTGCCCCGCCATCACCCCCTTCCCCCCCAGCTCCCTCCTCAAGGAGCTGCAGCTGTCCTTGAGCGGCTCCAGTCCCTCGCCTGCCCCAAGGTTTCAGTGTCATCCCGGAGTCTTTGTGATGTAAATTTTAAATTTCATGATATTAACTCTCTGCCTGGAGGGAGAATGTGTGCAATTACCTGGTTGGGAGGTTGATGAAAGATTGTGTGTTTCTTAAAACCTGAATATTTATAATATAAGGGGCTTGTCCAGCCTATGGGCGACCAGCTCCTTCCCCCTGAACCAGCGGGAGTTTGATTGAGCTCCAGGTACTTCTAGTAGCGTGTTGCTCACCTTTTAGATTGTTTTAAGCAGGCATTACCATGTCTGATCAGATACTTGTAATCGCTCAAATTGTTTCATTACAGAGTGGCCTAGTGTGCATGTGGACCGGCTATTTTTCCATGCAAACATGACCTGTTTAATTTTTTAACCTTTTGAGAAACATCTTTATCTCCAACCCGACTGTTCACCACTCTGTGTCTGGAGCCACCTGCACACTGCATGGCCATGCTCAATCCGAATGCTGTTGCCTGTTAATGTCATAATGAGAAAGGTTGGGGAGACAGGGTTGGGAACCAAGAGGATAATCTGGATTTTAGTTTGGGTACTAAAACTAGTCAATCTGTTTTAAAAAAAGAAAAAAAAAAAAAAAAGAAAAAAAATAACAGCTTGCACCAAAGTCACCAAAGAACCTTTAGGAAAATGTTACAGTTGTGACAAGAAGTAAGAAAGTTAATTTCACTGTTTTAGGTGATTCCCCCTTTAAAACCACATATAGCAGTTACAGCAACCAAGCCTTTGGCTTAGTGTCAAAAACTCCCATCCCTTTCTCCATAGGTTGCTCTTTCAGGTCCCGTTTCAAACCTGGAGGAGATGTTTTCGCTCCATCACTCGAACAGCCGTGGACCGCGATGAATCAGCGGGAGTTGTGCGGGGTACTGGTTCATCGTCACTCTTACGGCTTTGGTCCCAATGGTTTTAACAGGTCAATTTAAAAAAAATCCCACAAAACCCCACGTTAAAAGAACTCCACATCCCGTTATGGTGTGAAACCAGAATTTGGTGAATGAGTTGTTGATGCGTACGTTAGCGTATCGCTGACTGCTGCTGCCCATCACAGTGCCTGAGGTAAAAAATTCACTTCTAGTCCAACAAACCGGAGCGATGAATGTACGAACTTTTTACGCTCTCCTTCCCGTTTCTGTGTGGCGTTCCTCCCCTGCGAGCTCGGCATCTCCCATCCCTGCCCGCCTTTGCCTCAAGGGATCATAAAAGCTCCTCGGTTGGAATTAGCCTGAGTGGCCACGTGTGTTGTAAGTGCTCATGCCTTCCCTGTGTTCCTGTAGTGTTGGTGAGGAAATTACTCGTGATTGGAAAGGGATGTTTTCTTCACCATTTTAAAAGGAAAAAAGGATGCAAAATTGCTTTCCTTATTGCTGCCCATTTTTTAACCCCCCCCCCCTTTGTCTTTTGTTAAGGAATTGGCCTTCAAATGCCGTTAATTTGTTATAAATATCACCCAGGAGTTCAACAACTGCTGGCTACTGGGCCGGCCTGGGTTCTGGCACGCAGGTATCCCGTAGGATCTGCTAATGCATTTACTCCCCTGGCACGGGATGCACCTTAGTATCCAAACCCGGATCGGGATCTTCACGTTCATTGCCGATCACTCGTGGGTAGACTGGCGGCTGTGGGTTTCCATCGCGGTGGAAAACACCGGTGTTCACGGGTGTTGGCTTGGAGGATAGCGGCTTTCCACGCGATGGGAAGCAGATGTAGGGTTGGAGGGTAGGTAGTAGGGATGCACTCGGAGTGTAGCAATGCAAGACTTGAACGGTGAGATTCAGAAACGGGTTCCTTTGTATTTTTGGCAGCGCGTCTTCAGCTTCCCAGAGCAGTGACCACGCAGGCTGCTGGTGCCCAGAAAGGCCCAGCAAGACGCTCGGGAACACTGAATCCCTGATATGTTTTAAATGTTTGTTCCTGACGCCCTGAAACTGCCATGTCCCTTAAACTTGAGAAAACACAAGCTTATTTGCACTAGAAAGAACGGCCAAAAACAATCCTTAGGAGGACAGGGTGAAGAGCACCGGTCTGAACCTCTTTTTCTCATGAGAGAATTTCCTATTCAAGCCCTCACCTCTGTTTCAAAATAGTATGGTCCCGGCAGAAAGTCTGTCAGTTGAATTATTAAATCCTAATGCACTTTATATTGTGTAAATAATACTAGGAGCACATTTCTGCTCCCGCTCTGGTAAGGGGATGCTTTGGTAACGTAGTCTAATGCCGAGAGAAGCTGTCTCCTGCATGCACGTGTCTGTTTAGAGACCTGTTGATCCTGCTTGGTCCAGCTCCGCTCGTATCTTAGAGGAGGACAGGCGCTGTGTTGAGGATCCTCTCAAACCACCAAGAGTGGGATGATGATTTGGTTTTTTAAATTGCAATGTGCAGAGCTGCTGAGCGTCCTCAGCTCCGCCGTTGCAGCGGCTCCTCGCCCCTTCTGCTCACTGGGCCCCCCCGTGCTGCCGTCAAGGCTTAAAGCCAAGCTTTGTGCTTGTGGTCTTGACAAAGCCAAGTCCAGCAGCTGCCTCGTACCTGGTTTTCCCCGCTGCTGGTGCCAGAGTGGGGGCGGTCCCTGAAAAGCTTATCCCGGATGGAAGGGGCTGTGGGGGCTTCCCCTGCCTTGCAGCTGAGGGGATGTTGTGCTGGGTCGGGCCCGCAGAGCCAGCTTTCCCGGTGAAGTATAGAGCTATGGAAGGGTTGGGAAGCGTTTTGCACTGGTGTGGAGAGGGCGAGCCGCCGGGTGCTGCGGGGGAATGGCGAAACCCTCCCTCGTGGGCTCCTTGCGTGCAGCCCGGATGGACGATGGACTCTACCCAGCGAGAAGCTGCAGCGGTTATTGGTATCTACTCGTCGTCGTAAGTGTTTCTTATCTGTATCCAATATATACCAGTTCATATCCACGTATAGGCATTAATATATTTATGTGAGTATATCGTAGCCTGTAGTAGCTCGTAGCGAAATAACCTTATTTATCTGAAGTGCAGTCTGAGGAGGGGACGTCTGCTCCCACCACCGGTCTGGATAAACACGTTATTCCACCCAGAGCTGGGTGCGAGCTCTTGGCCGCAGCCCCCGTAAGAATCCATAGGTTTTCAGCAAGGCTGCAAGGGGAAGCGTAGTTAAAAGAAGGCAAAGCTCTTCCTTGGAGGCGTCATTGAGGCGAGGTGAGAGCTGTAAAGAGGCAGCTGCCGGCCACGTCATGTCTCCATGCCGTTTTACAACCCCTGGCTCTGCAAATCTGTACTGCCATATTCATAAAATGACAAGCAGAAGTATTAAAATCCCGTCCTTTGTACAAGAAAGAACCCCCAAGCAATTACCAAAATCAATGTCAGCACATTTTTTTTTCAGCTACAGATGTCCTAGTCTGATAATTGCATCATTTTTTTCCCCTATGGCCTATTGAAGTGACCTAAACTCCCAGGGAAGGGAGCTGGTGGTGGTTAGGAAGCCTTCTGCTCGTGTGACTTGCAGTCCTGTTTTCCAATTCTAGTAATTTTTATAGTAGAAAGGGGTTTATTATTGTGTATTTTTATTGGGCAGATTTTGCACCAGGTCAAAAATTATATAGTAAGCATTTTCAGTTCCTGGCATTCCCACTTTTGCTGTACATACACTAGATATATACGATTTATGAAAGAATTCCTGAAGAAAATTGTACCTTCTGTTTAATTTTCTATGCTGCTTATTCCAGAATTGTTGCCCTTTGTTTTTAATGACTTAACGTGTTGTGATGTGTAAAATTCACCTTTCCCCTCCTACCCCTCCATTGCTTTCAAGTAAAGGTTGTGTTTGAAATTAGGAGTTTATTCAAGAAGAGTGGAATTAAAGGCTATACCATAAGCTCTACCCAAGCGAGGCTGTCACATCACAGCCTTTGCCAAAATGTATTGTTTGGGGTGATCTGGTCTTGCCTAAAAGTGGCCGAATCCTGTCACGGCCACAGGAAAAAGGCCCTGGCTAGGGGACAAGGTGCTTCTGGATTTGGGGGATTTGGAAAAAGCTAAAGTCAGATCTTTTGCTGTTCCATTTCTCCAAAATCTGCAGAAGCTTTCATGGGCTGACATCAATTTTTCTTCCTAATATTTTGTCAGCCCGTGTTCAGTTCCCCACCTGCACCTCAATAAAGGCAACAGTATTCTAAAGCATAGAGGTGAAGTAAAATATCAAGAACTCCTGATAGATGACATGGATTAAAAATTGGTTTTCCAGAAATGTCAAAGCATAAATTGAGGTTTTATAAGCCGGATGTCGTTTTGGCATTTCTGTGATGGATGTAATTAGATCGCTCCTTCCCCGTGCGGAGGGAGGCATCACGCGGAACCCGAACCTGCAGCCCCGGGGCTCTCTCGTGTACTCCAACTTCTGGAAAGGTGCAGGTGCCTGCCGGCTTCTCATGTGTGCTGAATGTGGTTGTGCTCCTGCTGGCCTAGCCTCGAGGGGCCTGGCTGCCCCTCAATAAAACCATCATTAACGGCTTGCTAATTCATCTTCTTAATTGCTAGGCTGCACAGAAACGCTTGGAGTGGCACATGGAAATTGCTAGCTCTGCACAGAGTCAAAACTTAAAAAAGGCATATTCCATCTTTTAGGGGTTTTAGACCCCTCCAACACAGCAGTATTAAACAGGGAGGGATAACAGCTCCTGCCTCGGAGGTGTTGGTCACGCGGACAATGGGATGGATTTCTTGACCGCAGCGGGGTGAATCCATCCTGTGGGCAGGAGTTTGCGTCTGCTCTTCGTCGGGATCATTTGGCACGCGGAGATTGATCGGAGGCAAAGATGGCCCTGGGTGGCAGCCCGAGAAAGCCGGGGCTTCGTGCCCGGCCCCGCTCAGCACCGCGCTGGCACAACATCTGTGAGGTCACGTGTGGGCACAAATGAATGT